TCTGCGGGATCCAGTGACCCCTAGTGGTGGCCAGTAGCTTTGCAGTGCCAAATCTGCAAGAAAATGAAATTCTGCCCAGAACATTAATTCTGTGCAAATTTTGCATTGCATAGTGGCGCAGAATTCCCCCAAGAGTAACAGTTGTTTCTAGTGACACTTAGAAAATCATAATTATTGGGGAACTTGGATTTGGGTGGGTAGTGGGCTCCTGGAGAGGGAAAAGAACTCGTACTATGTGGCAAAGAGCTCATTTTTAAGCGGCCAGGACTCTGCTCAAGAGTTCTAAACATTCTTGGATCCCTTCCCAGAGGGATTTTGTGCCAAGAGACAGTACAGAGGATAGCAGCACAGCTAAGTGGACTCTGGTGAGGGCCCTGTTATAATAACTGGTCCTACAGATTTACCCTCATTGAAAGCGCCACTTTGAAGCGTGAGAATTTATAAAATGTCACAGTAAACTACAACAATGAGCACTAATGGGAAAAGGTGCAAAAAGGAGACACAGACTAGGGTAGTTCAAACAAAAAAGGCCTATAGGTATAACTCAAGGACTGTGTTATAATCATGCCTGGTAAACAAGAGAAATGTGGGACTGGACATCAATGGACCAAAATTGGCATGTCAGATATTAAGTCTAAATGGTGAACAAAATAATGAGGGGATGGTCTTTTATGCCCATCACACCCTTTTGTGGTCCTGAAAAAAAGCTTTGGGGGGAGGGAGTATTAGCAGATGCTGGCTGATTGAAAGACGGGTAACAGGAAGGAGCAAGCTTTGCCATCATGGCTGCCACCTTCACAGTCTACCAGAACTCCAGAATCCACTATGACACTGTTGGGCCTTCCATCATCCTAACCCCAAGGGAGGTCCTGACCAGACCCAGGCTAGAGAGAGGGACCCAGATGACATTTCCACGAGTTTCATATGAATCCCAAATACCACCTGGGATGTGACACTTTTTACCCCCAACACTGTTTGTCCTTTCCCCATCACATTACCCCTTTTCTTTCCTGTCCCTTTTCTTTTGCCATCTGTTTAATAAGGCTTTGTCTACACTGGCAACACTAACGCCAATCCTTGGGGCTGGATGTTTTTTGGCAGCAGGAGAGCTCTCTCCTGCTAATAAACAGCAGCTGCACTGCAGGCCTTTTTAGCAGTACAGCTGTAGCAGCACAGCCATGTCGTTAAAAGCTGCATAGCGTAGACATTGCCAAAGAGTGTGGCTTAGCTAGCTAAGACTGTTTATCTTGCAACAATACTGTGAGCCCATGACCAAAGAGGCAATTAAAAGCCATGTCCTAAACAGCCTGATGCTCATACAAGTTTGCCAGGTCTCAAAGTGGCTAGATAGATTGTGTGTCATGCTTGTGTTTTGCCAGAAGTGAGGCTGCAAGAGAAAGTCAGCACCATAGACAGAAGCTGCATTTGCTATCTTTGCTGTTATTCTCTTTCCCCTTTTGTGTGTGGAGTTGTCTTGTTTCGTCTTCTAGAAAATGTGATAGTATTTTAACAGCTCCAGCCCATCTCAACTAACTTCTCTTTTTCCCCAAAGGACAAGTTCCTCCAAAGTAACATCTTTAATACCTTCTAAGAGATAGTCAGACTGAGGCTGGTTTTTTCCTAGAACTTTCTACAGCTAAAAGGAACAAGGACTATTGTGAAAATGAAAATCCATTTCAAATGCTGTGTTTTTCCATATTTTTCTGTATCTTAAATAAAAGGTTGAAAGTACCATGGCAAACATCATTAAAAATCTATTTACCACTGTTTCATGTTGTACTGTAACACAGTCACCTTTAACTCTTTGGGCCCATATATTCCATCAAAATTAGCACACTCCCCTGTCAATTTAATAAAGCTGAATTAGTAAACTGGGTTAAGCAGCGGTGCCACTCCCTTGGGACTGGAGACAGACCTGGAAAGAGGCACTTGGATTACTACTACTTGCTGATCCCAACTGTGAGTAGGGTTTGGTGGAAGGGTGCCGTGGTGCAGTCACAGAACTATCACCTGTGGGACATTTTCACTGGCAGGTGAGAAGGGAGTTAGATGCACTACTGCCAGTTACTGAAAGGGGTGAGTGGGTATTTTACGCTCTATTTCCATATATTCTGTTGCTGCGTTCTCCCATGATTATGGCTGTGTTTCCTTTCCCCTAAAAATAATTTCCTTGTCTGTACACAGTCTTGGAGTGCTTGTGAGAGAGGCCGTTTTGCATGTTAAGGATGACCAGGGAGGGTACATTTAGTTTTCTCAGGTTTCATGGTGGTGGCTTTAGCTGGTTTAGTTGTTTATCAAGAGAGACCCTACATATATTGAACCCATTAGTCAAGTGGCATAAAGGTTACATGTATATGATCAGCCAACAGCAGGAATGAGCCCATGTGTATATGGCCATAGATCATTAAAACGTTTTCTAAGCTTGGATTTATGTTTGCTTTGTTTCTTACAATACCACTAGTGTCTACTTACAGAGCATCTGGAAAATGGAAACATGCAAATTGACACTCATTACAGACGACCCTTTGACTCACTTTCCTCAGCTAAGTCTCACTGTAACAGTACTCCACTTCATGTCAAGGGAGAGGTTCCCTTCCTGCTGCCCCTTAGTAGTAGACTGATAGACCCAGCCCCTCAAGCATGCATGCGCACACACAATTAAATATCTTATCAGGATACCCAGGGTCTTCTGGGTCCCAAAACACAATCCAACAGAAAAGACTTAAAACAAAACAGCAAAACAGACTCACATACTGCCAAGTCCTGGCCATCTCCATTTCCTCAAGCATCATACTTCCTGATGTCTCAGCCAGGAGCACGCTCCCCGGACTCCTCTCCAACCTGAGATAATTTACTGGGCTGTTCTGGTTTCTGTGCAACCCTTTTGGTCACCCTCACTAGAGCCCTCTTCTGACAGGCCTACCTCACACAATCCCCTTTCAGGTGTCACTGCCTAGGCAGCCTTTCCCCTCCCAGCCAGAGGCCCCTGTAAAACTCTTCTCCCTAAGCATTCCTCCTTCTCTTGACCAACAGTCCCAGCCCACCCCAGCTGCAACTAGTAATGACCTAACGAGTCACAGATGTCTCTCACCAGGCTGAATCAAGCCCCTGACATTGGCAGACTGGGGATTTGGTCTTTTCCTCTAAAGTAGTGGTTCTCAATTGGAGGTCCAGGGGGCCTCCAGCCAGTTTCAGGGGGTCTGTGAGCCCAGAGACCATGGGCAGAGTGGGAAGGGAGCACAAGGGACATTGCTCCCCCCCAATCTGCAGTGCATTAACCAGAGCGGGGCAGTCCCAGAAGCAGCTTCACCCCTCTCTCACCAAGGTCCTGCCCTGGTCAGAGACTGGAAGCCAGAGCCGGGCAGTGTGGGTGCTGCTCTGGCTAGTACCATGGAGCGGTCAGCCACAGCGCTACCCTGTCTGCTGCTGGTGCTCAGGGCTGCAGCTGCTCCTCAGCTCCCAGCCCCCTTTGACGGCTCGCAAAGCCAGTAAAAGCTGCCGGGGGGGGGAAGGGGGGTAGATCTGTCTCCCTTGGGGAGCAGTGACCACAGGGGGGCCCTCCCCCAGAACACAGCCCCCAGTTACCCCCCTCCCTGCACCCTGAGCTACCTGCACACAGCCTCTAGCTATGCCCCACCCGCAACCCAGACAGGCTGGGTGGCATGCTGATGTGAATTGGGGTGGAGGTGGCGCTCCCTCCCCTGGCCCTACCATGCAGAGTTGGCCCCCCAAAATAGAAGTCAAAATACACCTAGGTAGGGTGCCAGGCTGGGCTGGGGAGGGCTCCAGGGCAGAAGCCCTGAAATTTTTCTAGCATTGGGGATGGGGTGGAGGGGGAGGGCTTAGAAAGACAAAGGTTGAGAATCCCTGCTCTAAAAGGACAAAGAACTCTGTGACACTCACTTTTTTTCTTTTAACAGGAAGATGAGAACTGTTTGTAATATTATTAAAAAGATTAAACCCTAGCTAATACAGGCCCAATCCTCAGCTGGTGTAAATCAGCATAGTTTGTTGGTTGTGTTGGTACTATGCTGATTTAGAAGATCTGGAGGTATGTTTTAATTAGGATATAGATTTTTCTCCAGATCATACAAAGCTATACAGCATGTAGGTGATGTGTGCCATAAGATATGAAAGCATTGATGAGCAACCTCTTTAACAAGGCCTTTTACACCTCTGAGGTAATATAAAAATCAGATCCAACACGTTTCACATAGTTACAAAACAAAAGTATAAAGAGAACAATTTGGGCACAGAAAGAGCCACATTAAAAAAAAAGGGTTAAGTATTTAAAGTATGGTTGAACTCCAAAAAGTGAGTGCATTAAAAAATTGGCATTGCCAAGTTCTATACTTGTTTCTCAGAAAGTGCCATTGCAGCTTTACTCAGTTTAAAAGTAAAATATATTTCACTACTATCATCTGCACAGAAACTCCTGGAATTTAAAAAAGTCAAGCTGTGTTCTTTCTGGCTCAAGTATCACCAACCAGTAATACAGCATACATGCAACAACAAAAAAAATGTAACATATGTAATATTTGCACAAGTAGCATATTTTACATATGTTAACTCAAACTAAAATGAAACTGGCCCTTTTCATATTAATCTGCACACATACATAGAACATCCTTCCATGAAAGATTTCCAGAAAAGGTTCTGCAGTCACATTCTAATTAATTCCATCGTGGATGTATACTGAATCCATCTCATGCTCTTGTAGTTTTGAGGGGGTTTGTAGCACAAACAGGGAACGTGTCACAAAACCAAACCTGCTGAAGACAAACTCTGTAGGTTGTAGTTCTAGCACAAGTACAAAGATGTTTTAATATTAAGGTGAAGAAAATCTGTTTTGAAGAGAGCTTGAAGCTAATTTTTGCCTCTTTTCTTGTGCTCTCTAGTAGTTGAAGATGAAATTGGGCATACTACTTATCTTTAAAACTAGCTTCTAAAAAAAAACTGTGGAAGCTATTCTGAAAAACAAATGAATCATCACCAAAACATAAGCTGTGCAACAGTTTTATTTTTTTTATTTTACTATGTTGACATTTTATGCACAAATATTTTATCAGAGTAAAAATAGAAAATAATTGTTTCATGTAAAATTACCAAAAAAATTCAAAACAAAAGTAATACATAATTATTAGCAGAGTATAAGTGTCTTTATTTAAAGAGTAAAAATGTATGCAAAACCCCTGTTTTACAAAAAATTGGGATTATACTTATTTTTTTTCTGGCAGCAACAAAACAATTATATTGACATATAATATTCTACATCCTTTATTTAATTGAAGACATCAAGTTAGTCAGATTTCTCTCTTAGCTACAGGACATTTGACAACAGCCTTGTGCTGTTTGAAAAATGCATTGGTCCTTTTTTAATGAAAAGAACATGGTGGAAGAGCAGCAGATCCTACCAGGAAATAAAATGCATATAAACAAACCCAAAAGGGATAATCATATTTACTAAATTAAAGGGCTTCAAAATAATGAGATGTATTTACATGGGAAGTTTTGATGCCATCTTTCCTAATAGTTTTATTTAATTTTGTGTATATTCAAGGGTAAAGCATCAATTTTACTTATTAGCTTTGATATTAATTCATCCTCCATTAGACTGATTTGGTAGGTCACCGTTTTGAACCCTTCCTTTCTCTGCCCACTTGCAGTATTTTAGACCTCTGCAAGAAAGACTGAGCAGTGTTCTAAGAGGCAGTTGTATCACATTTATTAATTAGCTACTTGAATTGTGGCCTGTATTTACAGTGTCATCCTTGTCTTGAACAGAGCTGCACAAATGGAATTCCGGACACAGAAAAAAGTTGTTAGCTACACAACTTGCAGCCGAATATTCCCTTTCATAAGCAAGATGGTGACCTCAGCTATTTACATAAGAGATTTCAAATGCTTGATAAATAGTGAAAATGTGCTACAACTGTACTATAACAGTCATACAAGTTAGACATTTGACTTGACTTCTGACTGATTTACCCATATCTGTAACTTAAGGATTTGTTAAGGACTTAAAAGGATTTGTGTAGCTTCTTATCAAGCTAATACATCGTTCAGAAGCAGCATGCTCACCCTTTTGGCAAATGAGGGAGTGCTTCAGTAATTCAAGAATGGTAAATTAAAAGTCACTGGAGGAATCTGCCAAGAGAAAGCTACAATGGTGGAGATGGCAGCTAGAGAGACTTAAACGGTAGATGGCCAAAACGGCATGAGATCCTTAGGCCTACAGGAGGGGCATGGAGATGCCCCTCCACCGAGAAAAATACCTCAGCCCCCAGATGTACCCTTAAAAAATAAACCCTAAAAATATACAAGTCTCACATATTTCCAATTCCTTGAAAGCCAGTTTCTCTTTACTTGTCAACAGCAACAACATAGTGCTCCCACCACTCCGTTTAAGTACATTTTACATTAAGCATCTGTCAGGTTAGCCAAATTCTTGACTTAAAAGTTTTAAGAGTAACTTGACCTTTCAACATGGTACTAAAGATTTTCTCTTATGCAATTATATTTTTACTACTTGTCAAGTGACACCACAGCTTCTGCTGATGGTTCCTTATTTAAAAAAAATCTGCTTGCAAGAACAGCAAAAATGCATGGCAACACAATATTCATACTGTTTAAACAAAGGGGCAAAAAGTAAAAAATGCTCTATTCAGACTAACAGAAGTCTAGCAAGTCATTAATGGAGAAGCTCACAAATCATGGAGACACAGTTTTGTACATATTAACATGTATATGCCTGAATGAAGAAGTATTAATACCAGTCTCTGGATTCGGGATACATTCCAATTATATATATTTCGAAAAATGTATCCAAACCCTTAACTGTGTCCTGCTTAGGTCTCAGGAATGTGTAGTTTTGTTTCTGAGGCCTTAAAACATTATCTGAAGTTTGGAAAGAAACTAATTTTAAATAAGAAACTATATTTTTTCATATTTTAATAGGGAAAACTGTACAATAATCTGGAAGTCAAACTTCAGATTTTTATAAACTTATTTGCAACTCATTTTGTTTCTAAACAGAAAAGGACTGCTGAATGTGATTAACTTAAGTCTTCAGTTCATCAAGATCAACTAAGTGCAGGTATAAGGAGTATTGGCTAATATACTCTGCAGCGTAGAGTAATAAAAACTTCTTTTTGGGTGAGGGATACCTTTTCAAGTTTTTAATCACCTGACAGGAAAAACAGGAAAATCTTTATTAATTTTCTTTTGCTGAGTAGCCAGCATAACATTTTTCAGAAGTTAAGAACTTGCCCTTGTATATGCATGTTAGCTACACATTACAATGAAATACTCATAATTGGCTTTTGATCTAAGCCAGACTTAAATATGGATCTCTTTCTTCAGCACTGATCTTGAGTTTAGTCTATTCTTAGTTTTCTTTGCTTATAAACAGAGAAATTGTCTTAAGGACTTGATGCTTTCTATTATTTTTTAATGTGTCTGTTCTTTCTGCTCTGCTTGATTAGATGAGATTAACAGGCATGTTTAAGGGCAGCTCCTGCTTTAACTGTAAGCATCCAATTCCATTTTGTAGTTCAATAAAGAATAAAAAATATCAGAAAGGGCTGAATTTAAACTATTGACCAGTCTGTTTCCTGTAAATGCTTCACTTTTCTTAAAATGCTGCAAAAAATATTTTGTAGGGCTGGACATACAACATGAACCAGTTCAGCTTTCCTCACCAATTTCAGCAGACTACATGACACAGTGGGTCTGTCTTCATATTGAAGAAGTTGTGGTGATCCCTTAACATAGCATATATTTCAGTGTGTTAAAGATCCAAATTTATGGGAGTCTCAGTTCTTTGTAGAAAATCATGCATCATATTGTACTGTCAAGGAATAAAAAGAAGTTTCCGATTCTGATAAAGATAACTGCTCTGGGTATATAAGAAAGGCCTCAGGCTCCCACTTTCAGGTTCTTGTGCTTAATTGTCTTTCTCAGTTTGCAGGGATGCAGTAGCTAGTGCTACTGCTGTGACTGGCTGTGCAATGCCATGGAGTTGCATCTTTGCCAGTTTCTTTTGCTCACACTCTGTGACCAACCGGTTCAGCTCTGCTGCGCTATAGCCAATAAGAGTTTTCAAGTCACAGACAAATTTGTACACAAACCTCTTGCCTTGTACTTTGCAGATCATATCGCCATCATAGTAATACCTTAAATGAGAAAAAGAAAAAAAATATCAGTGCAAAGTAACAGAGCAATATTCAGTGTATGAAGCCCACCCACCCACCTGCCCACCCAATGATCACCCTGGAGGATACTGTGGTGCTAAAGGGTAGGTTCTTTTTCTCATTGTAAGATCTTGATAAAGATTTATTTTATTCACCAACATAAATATAGACCTCTTCTCTCTAGGGCTCTCCCATTGACTGAGCATGTCTTCACTAGACCTGCTAAATCTATTGCAGCAGTGTCAATTTAGCTCTATAGTGAAGACCAGCCCAAGGATAAAGGAAGATTTATCCATTTCACTGCAGATAACATTGATACAAATGAGTGTACACTTAACTGGCAAAACACGTTTCTTGCCACATAGTATGTATGCAGCGTGGCAGAGAGGACCTACAGGACACTGAGCCAACAAGTCAGGCTACTTTAAATGATCCAGGTGCAATTAACACCATCTTTCCTACTAATATCACAGAAGGTACAACAGAACCAAAATTCATTGAGGATGTCCTAGAAGAAAGATTTAATGGACACAAATGGCTGCCAAATGACTTTGAAAGCTCAAGCACAAGAGATAGCATTTTTCCTCAAATGTCAATTTGAAAATCCAAAATCTGGCTGGATAAGTTTTAATGAAAAGTGCAGTAACAATAATTCCCCATTAACTAAATATGGTTACATGCTTAGCGTTCAGTCCCCAAACTCATGAAGTTGATACACTGAGTACTGTTGTGAAAAGACTTGCACATTATCTTCAACAGAAGCATGTAATCAGGACTGTGTATCAAGCACTCTTCCCTGGTCTGATGGCACTAAAATGGATTGTGCCAAAATATAAGGTTATCCTGATTCCATTCTTAGGAAGTCTGCACATATCAACGAACTTCCTAAAAGTGCTGGGCACTTCAGTATATTCAGGATTCTGGATTGTCGAGTGTGTGACTGAAAGTGGAATTTTAGGCAGACAAATGAGAGCGTGTGTACTGGTAAAATTTATGCAAAAGCCACTCATGCTCACAAGATAGCTCTACAAATAATATGGCCACTATTATTACCAAATAACTTCTGAGCTAGCTACAGCAACTTGACAAGAAACTCAGAGAAAAACCCCTGCAAGATTACAATAACTAAGGTGTCTGTTCTGTCATCTGCCAGTTTTCATGACCATATAGCATCACTTGTGCTAAGCAGCATGGAAAGCCATCCCAATTTCCAGTCCTGGTGGCAGTACATAGATATGGTGTGTATCCTCCTATTCTTCAACCGAGTTCAACAGAATGGAACTTGGGAGCTTTACCTGTATGCTTTCAAAAAAATGCTTCTGTTCTCTCACTGGTATGATCACACAAATTATGCTTGATGAGCACCTGTGTACTCAGCAGAAATGAACCGGCTCCCTCTGGAGATAATTTAAAAGTTACATACGGGCAACTGAGTTTTGAAAGATTCCAACCACAGATTCAATCAGGTAGATCCGGACCACTTCCAAGGGTGGGTCAATGCCACTTGTAAAAGAGAAGGAATTCTAGATATCACAAGACCAGCCCCAGCACTCAGTAGACGGGCTCTCTCCTATAATCTGTGTGCCCAAATTGCAGCCCAAACCAGAAAATTATTTAGTTTTGGATTTGATGACCATTCGACTTGCATTGAATCCACAGCAGCATGAAAGAACCATGATCATGTTGATGAAAATAAAGTGTTAATGACATTTCAAAGGTTCAAATTATTCACTAGTGAGCCAGCCTCCAACACACTACAAAACGTTGCAATGAAGGATTTAGCTACAGAAATGAATCAGGAAGCTCTGCTGAATGCAGAAATACATGAACAGGAGCAACTGAGTGCCTTTGTTCAGAAAAGGCTTATGATGCTAAAGGAGCAAAGTGCCCATATCAAGTTCCGTGACCTGAAAAAGACAAGGTGTCGGAAGCTTTTCTCCCTCTATGCAGCTGGGGGAAAAAAAGCAAAGCAAAGACAAGGTAGTCAAAATAAAGGCTGATTGTCTCACACCACAGCACATCATTACTGCTATAATGCAGGAAGGATGGTGGATATGCACAAAATATTGCGTCATGACTTAATGCCAATTCCACTTGTTCTTTCTGAGGTAAAGGGTATCTTAGCATTGGAAATAAGTCTGCTATGATAGGTGCTTTAACCAGGGGCATCTCTTGTCCTCATGAGATAACACCTGATAGTACATCCTGTCTGATGATTCCTGGCAAGTATGTGTAACAGCAATGGCAACACCTCTTCCATGTACCTTTGGTGACCTTGCAACATTTTTGTTAAGTTAGTTCTTCATTCTGGACAGCATTTCAGCAGGACTGATGTAACATTTAACAGATTCACACCAGATTCTATTAAGGTATGATACAACAGACGCATTCAAAAGCTTGTAGGCCAATTCAGAAAGTCATATGAGAACAGACCTGTTCCACTACCCAACTGCTGGCCAGACTTCTTGGCCCACTCAGAAAATAAGGCTGGATCTGGCTTGCTTCTTCTATGACAAACTCCTAACCAATGCTCCACAAACCAATTGTCCTATCCGAAGGCTTTAAAGAAGACAGTACAGTTAAATCATCAACCTAACTGTAGACATAAGTGAGTTACGAACTGACCTCAAAGAGGCAGACACTAGGATTGTACAACACTGCATGCACACAGATGCGGACTGTGTTGTTGTGTCAGCATTGATGTTTTTCTTTTGTTAATGGCACACTATGAGAAAATGCCTCACAGCAATTTGTGATGAAGGCTCCAACACCAACCCTTCCCCCCGGGATAAATTCCTGTGCATATTATTCAAGAGAAGTTTCTGCCTGTATTTCCACAAGCAGATATAGAAACAATACTTTCTTTCCAGGCACTGACAGGCTTCGATACAGTTTCCCATATTGCTGGGCACAGCAAGGAAACAGCTTGGACAATATTTATGGAGAAAGATGGATTCCTAAGAAACTTAGGGAAGGATGATCTATAGAATGAAAATCATTTCAGCAGAAAAGTTCATCTGCAACATGAACAATTTACTTAAAGAGGAGAGCTGCGACAAGTTCTCAAAGCGTCGATCACTAGGGGACTGACCCCAACAAATGATGCATTGCGCTACCACATCCAAAAAAGCCTGACTTTGCCTGCCTCCACATCGTGGCTTGAAACTCCTACAATCCCACACTGCCCTTACAAGAGAACATGAACTGGGCCAAATACAATGGAGAACTGATACCTAAGCTAATGTCACTAGAGCCAATCCCCCATAACTATGCAGAAATTGTTATCTATGAATGTGTCAAAGGATGCCTATCAATACTGGAGCTGCAGAAATGCCACAATGGCACGCACTGGGCCTGTTAACGCAAGGGGTGTGTTCATACATATAGGACCCGTTAAATTATACCTGTTTAAACAATGCGCAGGACATACAGTAACTGTTTGTAGTGGATTTAAAAGATAGATATTTACTAATTTTTCAAATTGTACTTAAATTTTGTACTCCAAATTAGAAGGTGAAATATTCAAAGTTCAGCTTAGTAATTTTTTTTTTTAAAACAGATTCAGTACATTTAAATCATGAAAGATAACTTGTTCACCTACCTTTCCCAAAAATGCCTCCTATATCTTATTTTTTAGGAAATGTGCCTAATCTATTCTATTGACAATATTTTTAGTGGCATAAAATCTATTACTTTGTTAACTCTGAAAAAATGTTTTAATGAAAAGTTATTGTGCACTTTCTTTTAAAATACAGGACAGAATTTGCTAAAGTAGCAGTCTAAAGTTATGGCCCTAAGCCCATATATTTAGGTACCTAAATGTTTTTGTAAATCCGACCCTTAACATGATTTGGGAGCACAATATCTAATGGCTTCAGACTACAAAACCCAGATGAAGGAAAATAGCTTAGTTGAAGCATTTCAGTTTTCTTGACTTGTGAAAGTTCAACATATCAGATAGTGATGCTGGCTGCAAACAAAGCACGAGCTATTTTCTTATCAATTGTGTGTCTGAGTTTGTGTTGTTCTCACAGTAAGGATGCTAATGAGGTCCTGAACTTGTCTTTTTCAGCACATATGAGCATTTTAAGTATGATACTTAATAGGGAAAAAAAATCTATGTAAAATCTGAAATTCTGCTAATAGTTTGGCATGTGGCAAATCTCCAAAAAGGGCCATAATTTTGGAGTTTAATGTACCCACCCTACACACATGATCTGAAAGCTTATTTTATGTGCAATTAGATGAAGTATGATGTGGAGCTGCCAAATGGTGCTGTAAGCCTGTAGGTGAGGTGAAACAATGGTACTCAAAATGTGACAGTGTCATTTTTTGCACAGTTCCAGAAACACTGCGTTTTTTTTGTTTTTTTTTTTTACTGTGCAAGTTAATTTCAATACCTTAATGTGGTATTTATTGGTCAAAGCTACCAAATGAAATTTGTATTAAAAGATTTTTAATGGGCAAGTTCTCTCTGCCCCGAGAAATGATGAAGCTGCTTAGCATGTGGAAAAAATGGCAAGAGCATTGTACATACCCTACACGCCGCTGCCAGTGAGATACAGTGTAGACATACATCTTAAATTCTGTAACTAAAGCTGTTTCAGTGACTATTTCCCCAAGAAATTGTTAAACATATTATCCAAAGATTATCAATCATAGCATTTTCCATTTGTTTTCTAAAGGTAACCACTCATACATCCAATGACCCATCCTGCTCAGCTGATGAGAATGGCAACAGAAGGTGGCATGGTGGTCCACACCTGTTTGTTTTTTAACTGATGTGCAATCACAAAAGACCATACGTAACTGGCAGAATACTACAGTTAGAGAAAAGTATAAATTATTTCATGAAATGGTTGTAGTTGTAGAGCTTCTTACCGTAGAGCACGACTAAGCTTCTCATAGTTCATGGTGGGTTTATTTTTACGTTGTCCCCATTTCTGTGCAACCAGCTCAGGTTGATTCAGTTTAAATTCCCCTTCATCGCCAACCCAAGAAATACAGTCTCGAGCATCTTTGTCAGTAAGAAGTTCTAGCAAAAACTGCCATAGCTGAATCTGGCCATTGTTTCCTATTGAGATAAAAGGTCATTAAAGATAAACAGAAGTTATTTTCTACAGAGCTGAAGTTATTTTAAGAATTCATAAACTTCAGTTTAGGACAGCTCAATATCTATGTTATACCGTGGCCAAGATTGTAAGTTAGAATCTAAGTGCACGTTTAGGCACTTAAACAGTTGACTTGATCTTTCAAAAGTGCAGCACACCCAGAAGCTCTCACTGAAGTCTTGGCCTAGAAGCCCAGTTCTAGGTTCCTATTTTTGAAAATCTTTAGACTACTGTCACAAGGCACTTTGCAGAGCGTGTCAATCAAGCAAAACTTAAATGTGGTTTTGAGGTGAGATTTGTTTTTTTGGAGACAGATGAAGTAGCAACTCCTAACTGAGGGGAAGGGACAGAAAGGAAAGCAATATTGGAGGACAGAAGCAAGGTAACAGGGAAACTGATACAAAGAGTTTGGATGAAGAAAATCTAAGGAGAATTCTGAAATTAAATTGCATAGCTAACGTGCAGTTTTCCTAAAAGTGCCTTCACTTCATAGGGATTAGCAGGTCTCCAACTGGTGAAGTTACCAGCAGAGTAAGAAAGAAAACTGAACAAACAGTATGCAAAGTGCCAAGTTAGAATTCTGGAACATATTTGCCAATCTCTGCTTCCTTCCCGAATGATCCAGTCAGGAGGAGAAAAAACCTGAGCACATGGTATTGAGTGGGAGGAAGTTTAAGACAACGGTCAACCTTGCGTTTGTCTCATCTACAAGATAGCACTTCCATCAACGTAGTACTAATGTAGTACTAACTCAAAAGATCTGAGGGCTACATACTGTACCAGCACTTCCTGTCGCACCTGGATTTTCCCTACAGGCCTCATATCCAAGTAAGCAGCCCTTAGAAAATTTGGCAAAATCATATCTGTAAGGGATATGGCTGTATTCTGCAAATTCACCATGTGATTTAACTGTTAAATATTTACAACGTTTACATTAAAATAAAATTGAGAAAATACCTGTTCTGTTCCCAGGTGAACTTCTGTCTTCTCCTGAGATTCTTGGTGCTCTTTGTACTTTAGCTGCCTTTGCACTGCTGTTTATTACTTTAATGGTGGTTGGGGTAGCAGGCTGTACAGATGCTGGAATAATTTGCACAGCTGTGAAAGAGCAAACATTGGAGAACAATAATTATAACTTGTTGGTACAACAACCTGATGCATGCATGCAAGAATAAACACACACAAAAACACACACACACACAGTAGAACCTTAGAGTTACAAACACCTCGGGAATGGAGGTTGTTTGGAACTCTGAACAAAACGTAATGGTTGTTCTTTCAAAAATTTGCAACTAAACACTGACTTAACACAGCTTTGAAACTTTACTATCCAGAAGAGAAATGCTGCTTTTAACTATCTTAATTTAAATGAAACAATCACAAAAACAGTTTCCTTACCGTGTCAAGTCTTCTTTTCATTTTTAAATTCCCCCCCTTTTTTAGTCGTTTACATTTAACATATTACTGTATGGTATTTGCTTTTTTTTTTGGTCTCTATTGCCTGACTGCGTACTTCCGGTTCCAAATGAGGCGTGTGGTTGACCGGTCAGTTCGTAACTTTGATGTTCATAACTCTGAGGTTCTAGCGTGTGTGTGCACATCAATATTAAAATTCAAAATATTTCCCCTCCGAAGAGCTACATGGATATTCATAAACCTACACCTTAAGAATAATTTTAATTGTTGCTACCATTTAAAATGGAATTGGTGTTAGCATTGCAGTAGATATGCTACTTTTTTTTAAAATACAGAACTGATTTCTGATATATGTTCACCAAGAATGCAGTTCTGAACAGCTGATATTACAATGTGACACAAGTGAAATATTTATGGTGCAGAATAATGGTAAAGTCAATTGATCATTATAATAAGAAAGTTAGAAATTCAAAATTCTGATTAAATTAAACTCTCAAAGTGGCTAAAAATTAAAGCTTTGCTTTCAAGTTGAAAAACATGCAAAAGATGTGTTATTTCTCTGTGGCTTTTCTGACTTTTTGGTAGCATGAGTGCTGAACCCACATTTCTAGTTGACAAACACCTGTCTTAATAATTTACTGGCATGACTACTCACGCTGATCAATAGTAACTGTTGCTATTTCTCCAGAGTGTTCTTGGCTAGCCAATACATCTGCCAAGTAAAAGAAAAATATTTAAATCTTTATTCAAATCCTTACCCCCATAAGTCAACTGAATGCCAAATGGATTTATAACCGAGAAAACAAGAAAGGAATGCAGAGAAACAACATAAAGGTTGTAGAGTGTAATAAAGATGATGACTTTTAAGAGTAAATATGTAACACCACGTGAAAGAAGTATGCACAGCCTTTTTTATGTCCTTCTGGGCATCTGGGGTGGCACTTTATTTTCACGAATGTACTTTTAGAATATTACACACGCTTTTTTTTTTTTAGTGTTTACCCACACAAACTTTCTGTTTTGCTTATATGATGTACTTTTTTCAGTGTCACAGACAGAAAATCAGCCTACCTAATTGTATCTAAACATTGAATACACAATAGATTAGCTGCAGTGTATATGGGCTAAAGAATTAGCTTAGTAACTTTCACATTTGTGTGAGACTGCAACATAGTAAATAGCACTTAACATTTAATTATGAGACTGTCAAATCAGAAGATGAACCAAAGCTAATAATAAAAACATAAATCAGGAATTTTCAGGTATGTTGCAAGAGCCATACCTCTTATACCTTACTTCCTGTATTAGATTAACAGTAATAAAATTTGAGGAAAGATGGGCCAACCAGATTTAAAATATAGACGTTTCTTTTCGTAACAGCAAGTATTCTCATTATAACATATTCCCTTATCTTGTATTTGATACCCTCCCTTTCACTGCTAATGGAAAGTGGGAAAATAACCTGGACTATTCACAACTGTCTTTATCTTTCCACAGAAAAAAAACAGTAACTAAATCAGTCATTAAGAAAGCTCACATACATTTTCGAAGAAGCTCCAGGTGGCTCCAAAGGATTTCTCCCCGAGGGACCCTCTGGAAGAAGTCCTCTTGATTGAGGCTACATAACTCTCGGCCTGGAATACTAAGAGTATTGAGGTCTATGTCAGTCATGCTGAATTCCTTCATCACCCATACCACCCAGTGGAGTACTTGGTCTGTTGACCACTGTACAGGGTCTAGGAAAAAAGAAGAAAAATATATTAAACAACTGATAACTGTAAAAGGTGTGCCACCCTGTCCATTTTAGACACTACAGAACTATTCCCTATAGTGACTAACAATAAAAAGAACCACAGAAAAAACACTGTCCCATGTGATTGAAACAAGTATGACTGAAAAGTCATATGAATGAGTTGTTAAATTTTTTTCTTCTTTTAAAAAGAACTAATTCTTAAGTTTTAATAACAAAGACTGGTCATGCCACAAACATTCTTTGCAGAGAAACAAAAAGGGAACATAGAAGAAGGTGTGGAAAGCCACAACACAAAAGCAATTTTGATTCTCAAGATGCCACTACAAAACTATTCCTATGGACTTGCTAATTTGCTTTCTATGGCTTTGCCTGAGACAGTGCAGTATCTGGAGTGCTAGGCAAGCCTCTGACTTGGATCACCATTTCTTTTCGCCATCTCGGAAAATTTCTGAGCCCTCTATTGCTCTCTCTACCAATTTTTTTTGTTTCATTCCTTCCAATATGAATCATTAACCTTCCCTATGTTGGGATGGAATACCCTTCCCCAACCAAGATCTAGGTCAGTAACACTGTGTGTGCAACCAGTGAGGAGCTGAGGATATTGGTGGCTAGTGAGAGTTCTAAGCAACATCATTAAGCTTCCTAACCTTTCTGGGAGAAGGATGAATAGTTTTGGGTTTTTTTGCCTTGTTGTAACTAGGCCAACTGGGTGAATGGTTAGAACAGATGGCTGTCAAAAATTGTTTCACGTGCAGGGTCAATTTTTTTTCCTGTTACTATTGTCATATCCTGTAAGTTCTTTAGGCTAACACTATACTCCATAATAATGCTTCTGTGAGCACAGCATAACTCTGGAATCTACGTTGGGACATCAGAGCCATTTATCCTCCAAACCCCAAGAGAGCTCTGGGAAGCCCTAACAAAAAACAGCTTGGCATCATGGATTGACACAGATATAGTTTCTGCGATTTTCTGAACAGAATGGATCAGGAAAGTTCTCTCCTCATTCCCTCATCTAGGAAAAAGATGTATCTAGAGCTGTATCTTGTCTGGTTTCTTGAGGGGCTTTTGAGTTTCATGGCTGAGACAAACATGCTTTAGCAGTGACTTCCACTGGTCATGAAACTCTCCCCGACAGGGTCTGGATCTTGTACTTGGTCAGCAGAAACCTCTCACTTCAGCAGTTCTGAACCTGGGACCACTGACAAAATGCAAGAAGAATAGGTAGTGCCAGAGTTTTAAAAATCTCGTATTAAAGAGCTAACTTTGCATTTGCAGCACACTAGTCCCCGGAAATAGTAAAAGAAATATGAGAATGCTCCTGGTTAAGACTTAGACCCCAAGAAATATTCTAGAGCTGGGGAGGCCCAAGGAATGGTGGTGCTGCTGGTGGTGAGAGTTCTCATCATAGCTCCTGGAAGTCACAAAGAACCTCCAGACAGTGAGCTTCTTGTTTCTTAAAAAGGCTAAGTAAGCTGTCTGCCAAAACACCAAAAATTATCTACTTCTGTTGTTGCCTTGTCTCCTGAAATAACTTTGACTTCTCAAAGTGAAAATACAATGCACTTAAGGTCCCTCTTGGTAAACTACGGCTCCAAAAAGCAGTTGGGGGCATTTTTCCTTTGATTTAGCATTTTCTGATTGTTCCATGCTTCCAGCAAAAAATAGCCTAAAGGAGAAAATGACAGCTAGGAACAGCTGTGGAGGACACCTTGTATGTTTCTCTTAGACAAGAATGAAACTGAAGAAACAGAACAGGGACGGTTAAAGGGTGGAAAATTCCTGGATGGTGGTTAGTTTTTAGCTTACTAGTCAGAACAAATAATTGGAAGGAATAGAGTCTGCAATATCACTACAAAACAGGGCTTGATTTTACTCCAAGCTACAGGTTTCAGAGTAGCAGCCATGCTAGTCTGTATCTGCAAAAAGAACAGGAGTACTTGTGGCACCTTGGAGACTAACAAATTTATTCACTCCAAGCTACATCTCTCACTGTCTGTTACAAAGTGCTCTGGATTCTCAAAAGAGGCAAGTGATTTCAGAAAGCCTTGATGAAGCTGAAAAACAACTCCCAGCAGAAATGCAATTTATACACATTTATAGAAAGGTCAGGCAAAATGAAATCTCATCTTTGGGGAATCATACAAAAATTCATTTAAAAAATTGCAGGCATATATTATAAAGCACCAACAATACATTCAGAATACAAAAGGTCCTCAAGTGCCTCCTTTCTCTCCAATTCCATGAAGTCAGGAAAATCTGATATGGTATTTAAAAGCTATCCTTTTTGGCATTCACTTGATTAAGACATTTCTACTACCAAGAGGAGAATTCCAAAATGTCTATACTTGGGTTGGTCATAAGAGAGGCCAATTTTTGTTTTCTAGAAAATTCTCACCTACATAATGGAAAATAATTGTAAACCTTTGAAATTACAATGGTGTCACATTCACAATGCTGATTTTCTTCTTTGAGAAAGCAAAGTTTTAATACTAACAAATCTATAAAGTTGATTTACAACAGTTTATTTAACATTAGATGTTTTTAGTATTATGTTGAAGAGTGTAACTTTTCTTCTTGCATTATGGATGGCATGCTGTGAAATTTCAAGAGATATTCACATGAATATCCCTAAGCTTTTTATATCAAACCCTCAATTAACAAGATATCTAGCACAATGAAAGTGAATTCAGAAATGCTTGTATGTCAAAAGGGATCAACAAAACAAAGCAAATCAGAAGCCATTGCTTCAGTTATTTCTCTGAGAACCTGTTAAGACTATCAGCCAATTTAATACCTTGTTCCCTTGTAAATACCTGAGACTGAATTTAACTTTTTCCAACTACTAAAACCAAACAATGGCAAGAAAAGACAAACAAATCTGAAATTGTTGTAATGTGTTTTGTACCATCTAGGGTTATCACTTGGGCTTCCTCAACAAGGGGGAAAAAAAGGGGGGGGGGCAAGTTTATGGGAGTTTGTTTACATATTACAGGTTGATTTCGTGAATATCACTGGAGAGTACATTACAATGATTTACCGCAGTTAATTTTCACCTGGAGAGTCCAGGGTTCAAGTGTGGCATAGGTCTCACACAAAAAGTTTCAATTTAGCTCCCAGAACACATTTACAGACATTCCATATTCTATAATGCTAGAACAATTAGTCTTTTCCATGGTGACCCTCTTTTGAAAAGATTATTGAAGTTTAAAAATTAGGTACTTTAAGTACTTGAATCTAAGTGTGGCTTTTCATACAAATCTGATACTGCTTGGTGCTCCACATCCTCCACTACTACTGTCTTTAATGAGCCCTGAAGAGAGTCAGGAACACCAGAGAACTGGACCCAAGGTCAAATTCATACACAAACAGCTTGATCTTCCAGTACACATATTTTAAAACTACTTTATGCAATAGACCAGGGGAAAACACAAATTTGTAATATAAGTAAGCTGTGGAGGAAACCTACCCTCTTCTACCAAGGAACTATCAGCCATGGTTCCACCTCCACTTTACTTACTCTATCAAGCTATTTGTACTGCACTCATCACCATAGCATATGAAATCTCATCATAGTATCTGAGCACTTTAATAAATGTTCTCTTATACAATACCCAATATCAAATAATTCTCAATTATTAAAAACATACAAACTACTCAACATCGTGTTTTATTACCATAGGGTATTCCAAGGCGTTCTTGCTCCTTTCTGTAGCCTTCCAGTGCTGCAGCCCATCGAGTCACTTGCTCAGAAGTTTCATCTGATATTGTTGTAATGTGTTTTGTTCCATCTAGAGTTATCACTTGGGCTTCCTCAACAAGGTGAGCTTCAGCTTCAGCATGGTGGGCATCCGGATCGATAACTACCTCCACAGTTTCTACAGGCTTTACAATTTCAAGGATGTTTAACTTGGGCTCTATTCCTAGATATGGATGAAAATAAAGTAAGGTAAAATACATTATTTTTGAGCACTGCAAAAGCATTACTCGTTTCATTTAAATCTCACCAAACATACTGTTACTACATGCTGAGAATCAGATACAGAAAACATCAGATGCATTCACGGTTAGCATCACATTTTCAGAATGATTCATATGACTCAACACTATCAAGGATAGCAGACTCAAGGTGATATTTCTTCTCACCCTTCACTTAAGCATACACTTATAATTTAGTAAAGTGAACATACAAATAATTATGCCCCTTCACCCCACAATCCCATGCGTTTCAAATTTAGTTTTTATATATACCCACAAAACACATATTCAACTGGCAGCTCCGTATGCATACCTAAGGAACTATTACACTTGTCCTATGAAGGAAATATAGTAGGTCCAAAAATATGTATTACTTTCAGTCTTCAAAAGTGGTTACTTTTAAAGTGTCTTTGAAATTATTACACACACTTTGGTTAGCATCACTTTAAGATACCCTATAAGATACACCTACATTGTAATAAAAGACCTGTAGCATGGCTGCAGCTGACCTGGGTCAGATGACTTAGGGTCACAGGGCTCAGGCTATGGAGCTAAAAATTGCACTGCAGATGTTCAAGCTCAGGCTGGAGCCCAAATCCTGAGGGGGAGGGGGGGTCTCAAAGCCCAGGCTCCAGTCAAGCCCTGCAAACCCAAATCAATTGACCCTGGCTCTGTGACTTGGATTTTTACTGCAGTGTAGACATACTCTTAAAGAGGCAATGTGGTTTAGTGGATCAGACGACTGGAAACCAGAATGCTCAGGTTCTAAATCCAGCTTTACCAGCAATTTGTTCTGTGGCTCTGGGTCAGTCCCTACCTTTTCCACCTGAGTTTCCTCTATCTGTAAAATGGGTTAAGTAGTATTTATCTATTCTGCAGTGGTGTTATGAGGATTAATGTTTATAAAGCAGTTTGAAGTGCTACATAAATCATTAGTATGATTATAAAATAACTCAGACCTTTACTTTGCTCCAAGAAATCTTATAGTCATTCTTAACTCCAAACTTCTGCTCTCATTTGTCTCCCTGGTAAGTAAGCCTACCTATCAGTACCTCCTGGATACTGCCAGATTTCATTCCTTACCCTTCTCCAACATTACCTTGATGCCCTCTTTATGTGTCATCTTAAGTTTAGATTTTTAAGGGTCCACAATTCAAAACCAGAACAAGAAGTTTCAGGAAGCAAGGTCATACAACCGGTTTTCCATCAAACTCCAAATCCACTCAAAATTTCTACCCCCCTCTTCTAAGTTCTCCATGAAGTCACTCTACTATCCTATTTTATCATCATCACTCCTATTCGACCTCTCTCTCTAGGTACACACACTTAGGCAGTGTCTAAATCTTGCTGCTTCTTCCTGTGTAACACCTTGAGTTCTGGTTTGTTCTCTCTGACCACATACCTAAAAGGTTAATCTAGGCCCTGATTATTGCAGCCTCCTCTGTGGCCTTGTTAAATGCTATCTTGCCCAATTTATATCCATTCAAATGCAGATACAAATAAATCTCCTAGCTCATAATTTGACTGTCACCCGCACTCCCTATGTCCTACTCTATTGACTCCCCCTCCTTCACACATTTAACACAAACTACTTGTCTTTATTTTAAAAGGCCTTTCATGTTCTATCACCATTTGAACCATCATCTCTGATATGACAATGAGACAATGCCCTGGTCTACACTAGGATTTTAGGTCAAATTTAGCAGCGTTAAATCGATGTAAACCTGCACCCGTCCACACAATGAAGCCCTTTATTTCGACTTAAAGGGCTCTTAAAATCGATTTCCTTACTCCACCCCTGACAAGTGGATTAGCGCTTAAATCGACGTTGCCGGCTCGAATTTGGGGTACTGTGGACACAATTCGATGGTATTGGCCTCCGGGAGCTATCCCAGAGTGCTCCATTGTGACCGCTCTGGACAGCACTCTCAACTCAGATGCACTGGCCAGGTAGACAGGAAAAGAACCGCGAACTTTTGAATCTCATTTCCTGTTTGGCCAGCGTGGCAAGCTGCAGGTGACCATGCAGAGCTCATCAGCACAGGTGACCATGATGGAGTCCCAGAATCGCAAAAGAGCTCCAGCATGGACCGAACGGGAGGTACGGGATCTGATCGCTGTTTGGGGAGAGGAATCCGTGCTATCAGAACTCCGTTCCAGTTTTCGAAATGTCAAAACCTTTGTGAAAATCTCCCAGGGCATGAAGGACAGAGGCCATAACAGGGACCCGAAGCAGTGCCGCGTGAAACTGAAGGAGCTGAGGCAAGCCTACCAGAAAACCAGGAGAGGCGAACAGCCGCTCTGGGTCAGAGCCCCAAACATGCCGCTTCTATGATGAGCTGCGTGCCATTTTAGGGGGTTCAGCCACCACTACCCCAGCCGTGTTGTTTGACTCCTTCAATGGAGATGGAGGCAATACGGAAGCACGTTTTGGGGATGAAGAAGATGATGATGAGGAGGAGGTTGTAGATAGCTCACAGCAAGCAAGCGGAGAAACCGGTTTTCCCGACAGCCAGGAACTGTTTCTCACCCTAGACCTGGAGCCAGTACCCCCCGAACCCACCCAAGGCTGCCTCCTGGACCCAGCAGGCGGAGAAGGGACCTCTGGTGAGTGTACCTTTTAAAATGCTATACATGGTTTAAAAGCAAGCATGTGAAAGGATTACTTTGCCCTGGCATTTGCGGTTCTCCTAGATGTAGTCCTAAAGCCTTTGCAAAAGGTTTCTGGGGAGGGCAGCCTTATTGCGTCCTTCATGGTAGGACACTTTACCACTCCAGGCCAGTAACACGTACTCGGGAATCATTGTAGAACAAAGCATTGCAGTGTATGTTTTCTGGCATTCAAACAACATCCGTTCTTTATCTCTCTGTGTTATCCTCAGGAGAGTGAGATATAATTCATGGTCACCTGGTTGAAATAGAGTGCTTTTCTTCAGGGGACACTCAGAGGAGCCCATTCCTGCTGGGCTGTTTGTCTGTGGCTAAACAGAAATGTTCCCCGCTGTTAGCCACAGGGAGGGGGGAAGGTTGAGGGGGTAGTCACGCGGTGGGAGGAGGCAAAATGCGACCTTGTAATGAAAGCACATGTGCTATGTATGTAATGTTAACAGCAAGGTTTACCCTGAAAGAGTGTAGCCACTGTTTTATAAAATGTGTCTTTTTAAATATCGCTGTCCCTTTTTTTTTCTCCACCAGCTGCATGTGTTTCAATGATCACAGGATCTTCTCCTTCCCAGAGGCTAGTGAAGCTTAGAAAGAAAGAAAAAACGCACTCGCGATGAAACGTTCTCCGAGCTCATGCTGTCCTCCCACACTGACAGAGCACAGACGAATGCGTGGAGGCAAATAATGTCAGAGTGCAGGAAAGCACAAAATGACCGGGAGGAGAGGTGGCGGGCTGAAGAGAGTAAGTGGCGGGCTGAAGACAGGGCTGAAGCTCAAATGTGGCAGCAGCGTGATGAGAGGAGGCAGGATTCAATGCTGAGGCTGCTGCAGGACCAAACCAGTATGCTCCAGTGTATGGTTGAGCTGCAGCAAAGGCAGCTGGAGCACAGACTGCCACTGCAGCCCCTCTGTAACCAACCGCCCTCCTCCCCAAGTTCCATAGCCTCCACACCCAGACGCCCAAGAATGCGGTGGGGGGGCCTCCGGCCAACCAGCCACTCCACCACAGAGGATTGCCCAAAAAAAAGAAGGCTGTCATTCAATAAATTTTAAAGTTGTAAACTTTTAAAGTGCTGTGCTTAAAGTGCTGTGTGGCATTTTCCTTCCCTCCTCCACCACCCCTCCTGGGCTACCTTGGTAGTCATCCCCCTATTTGTGTGATGAATGAATAAAGAATGCATGAATGTGAAGCAACAATGACTTTATTGCCTCTGCAAGCGGTGATTGAAGGGAGGAGGGGCGGGTGGTTAGATTACAGGGAAGTAGAGTGAACCAAGGGGCGGGGGGTTTCATCAAGGAGAAACAAACAGAACTTTCACACCGTAGCCTGGCCAGTCATGAAACTGGTTTTCAAAGCTTCTCTGATGCGTACCGCGCCCTCCTGTGCTCTTCTAACCGCCCTGGTGTCTGGCTGCGCGTAACCAGCAGCCAGGCGATTTGCCTCAACCTCCCACCCCGCCATAAACGTCTCCCCCTTACTCTCACAGATATTGTGGAGCACACATCAAGCAGTAATAACAGTGGGAATATTGGTTTCGCTGAGGTCTAAGCGAGTCAGTAAAGTGCGCCAGCGTGCCTTTAAACGTCCAAATGCACATTCTACCACCATTCTACATTGCTCAGCCTGTAGTTGAACAGCTCCTGACTACTGTCCAGGCTGCCTGTGTACGGCTTCATGAGCCATGGCATTAAGGGGTAGGGTGGGTCCCCAAGGATACATATAGGCATTTCAACATCCCCAACAGTTATTTTCTGGTCTGGGAATAAAGTCCCTTCCTGCAGCTTTTGAAACAGACCAGAGTTCCTGAAGATGCGAGCATCATGCACCTTTCCCGGCCATCCCACGTTAATGTTGGTGAAACGTCCCTTGTGATCCACCAGAGCTTGCAGCACTATCGAAAAGTACCCCTTGCGGTTTATGTACTCGGCGGCTTGGTGCTCCGGTGCCAAGATAGGGATATGGGTTCCGTCTATAGCCCCACCACAGTTAGGGAATCCCATTGCAGCAAAGCCATCCACTATGACCTGCACATTTCCCAGAGTCACTACCCTTGATATCAGCAGATCTTTGATTGCGTGGGCTACTTGCATCACAGCAGCCCCCACAGTAGATTTGCCCACTCCAAATTGATTCCCAACTGACTGGTAGCTGTCTGGCGTTGCAAGCTTCCACAGGGCTATCGCCACTCGCTTCTCAACTGTGAGGGCTGCTCTCATCTTGGTATTCATGCGCCTCAGGGCAGGGGAAAGCAAGTCACAAAGTTCCATGAAAGTGCCCTTACGCATGCGAAAGTTTCGCAGCCACTGGGAATCGTCCCAGACCTGCAACACTATGCGGTCCCACCAGTCTGTGCTTGTTTCCCGAGCCCAGAATCGGCGTTCCACAGCATGAACCTGCCCCATTAGCACCATGATGCATGCACTGGCAGGGCCCATGCTTTCAGAGAAATCTGTGTCCATGTCCTGATCACTCACGTGACCGCGCTGATGTCGCCTCCTCGCCCAGTATCGCTTTGCCAGGTTCTGGTGCTGCATATACTGCTGGATAATGGGGTAGCATGGGAAAAACACAAAGGTGCTTTGAGAGATAAACAGAGTAAAGCAGATGAAGGCTGGCGTGGTTGACAGTGATAGTAAAGATGACAGTTTTAAGGTAACAGATTTCATAGGTAGGGAAGAAGTAACTGATAAAAGATCTTACAGGTGAAGACAGGAAACTTGTGCCTGATCTGGAGGAGAAAGGAAAGCCAGTGGAGGATGTGACCAGTAAGGTGGCCAAAAAGCTTAACATAGCAGCAGCATTTTGAATGAACACTACGATCTGCCAATCACAATGCACAGATGCAAAAAACAAAACAGATACTCCACATTTCGGTAATTTGTCACACATTTCAGTTACTTCTGACATACATTGACAGGCTTGAAGATTGAGAGATATACGATCGCTGTCCACCATATTTATATGTTATGTGGAGATACAGTATTTAAGTCTGTAAGGCTGTTAATTCAGTATCTCTTTCCCAAGTGTTAAAAATTCTTAAAATTATAATAATATAGTCCCTTTGGAAATGCAATGATTCAAATTGCTCAAATAACTATAAATCTAATTAAATACAATTAGAGAATCCCTGTTCAAAAACAGTGTCTATACTGTAAGAATCTATGAATGGTCATACAACACATTTTTTCTTTAACGAGACCAATTAAAATGGATTTTAAATATTGTAAATTAACATTCAAAATTACATGAGAAGCTGTGATCTCTGGATGAAAAGGTATTATATAAGCGCTAGGTATTATTATTTGACCCTATCATTAAGGCACACGTCCCATTGATGTAAATGTTGGCAAAGTTCTGCTTTCAGTTACTTGATGGCAAAAGTCAATTGAATTGTTCTGGATTCATACTGGTGGAATAGCAGAATTTGGCCCTCTTACCTCACTCTACCTAGACACAGGGTGAGAGGGGAAAAGAGTAAAAAATACAGAATATGGAAACATGAAATGTATAAAGAAGTACCAATATTTAAAGTGGCTGATCAAATGAAGAATTAGTCATGAAGATTGTTAAATTCAAACAAGAGTTTTATAAACAAGTTGAAGTATTTAAATAAGCCATCTTATTTTTTTTTTAAACATATGCAGCAACAGTAGTTATAATTCTGTTTTACATAAAACCAGGGGTTAAAGGCCTGTATTTTGATCCCTCAAAGAATGAAAACAGGCATAATAAATAAAGCTTTTTAAAACTAGAGAAGAACTACTCACTATTATAACAAAGATCAAATCATTGTTTGTCAAATGACTACAAGCCATTGAATCTACTGCTTTACCCATACCAGAAAAAAGTGATGAACTAACTCTGTAGATGGATCAGATCATAAGTAGCATTATTTTGAAGTAATAGCCTGAGACTAGCTTTCTGAAATGTTAAATTAAAATACATTCGCCAGATTTGTCTGTCTTTCTTTCCACCTCACTTCTTTCAGCTACATTTTAAGAAAACAGAGGACAAGCTCATGTTTCCTCATTCACACTAGCCTAACACTGGAGGAAGAGCTTTGACTTCCAGGAATACATTATGTCTGACAATATTGTTCTTTATTGTAGTTTCAACCAGTTTGCCAGTTTGGTCCTCTCTCCTTTGCACCTTACCCTCATGGCCAGGAGTTTTAGGCAGATTGAAGTCTTTATGATCTGTGCACAAGGACTCACCTGACTTGGACAGAGTCAGGGAGGGATCCTTTCTTTCAGGAAAACATCTGGAAGGGGATCTGTTCGCAAAAGTGCCCCTTACTCTAATGAGAGGCCCGAGTCAGCGATTCCTTGAGCTTATCAGCTCTGGCCTCTGCTCCAGAGCGCATGCTCAGAGGGGCGGGGCTTACAGACTAAGGCCAATGTACCGGGGGAGGGAGCGGTATCTCCCTGGCCTGTAGCTGACTGGAGTATATTGTCCTTCTCCCTGAGGTACTTGCTTAGTCAAAGCTCCTGTCCCTCATGGGTTTGAGGAGATAAGGAGCAGCGGAGCTGTACTTGGCAGAGACATGAGCCTCCTCAAAGCAGTAAAGACGGAGCTGGCGTTCATCACTGACTGAGAAGAAGGGGCAGGAGATAGTTCTTAAACCCGGCAACTCTAGGCATAGTCCCCAAGAAGAGGATCTCCAAGGAAGGGAGAAACTAAACTGTACTAACTAGAATATAAAAATCATTAAAACGCTAAAAATACTAACGACATACAATCATATTTACAGGTTTTGAAGACTATGTGAAGATAGCTTTGAATACAGAGGATTACAACTCGGGACATGTGGCACTAAGAAGGAATTAGAGGAGTGTCTATCCACACCACCCCTTATGGCCTTGGCATAGAGCATGAAGAGAGCAATTGCATAGGCACAAACCAACGGATGCTACTTGCTAGAAATCTCCGGTCTCAAGAACACGAGCACATGCGTACCCATGTGTGGAATACACACAGGGACGAGCACTAGAAGAAACAACATTGGTTATGTGTCCCTACGGTTTAGTTCAATATATCTTAGAAACACAAGTATCAACAAAGAGATGACCACTTTAGGCTTTTGCTTCTGATCTTTAGTACATGATCAGTTGATAATGCCACCATAATTTAATTATTTGTGAAGCAGTAAGTTCACGTTATATTGATGTGTCTCTCAATTAGCAGGTGGCAATTCTGCTTCATTTGACTAGATATTTTGCCCAGCATGAGACAAACAACTGCTTGACCTCATTGAAAGGTCTCACATGCAGGGTACTGCCAAGTTCCTCCTTGTCACCATCCCACCAGCTTTCCTAGTTTGAGATTTATATAAAGTTACTATGGAAGACAGACACATTTTGGGCTGCAGAAACATCAGTCCATGACAAATTTTAACGGACACTCTATAAACATATGGTGCACAATGGAAAAAATCAACCTATAGGAGCATGAATAATGCAGTTATATTTTCAATGCTACAGTTAAAAATAGTAATGCATGAATACACTTACAATATGGCTCACCTTGTATGACAGCAAATAAAATGCTTAACTGCTTACCTTGCCTGGATATTACTTGTACACTAAGCTGTACTGTTCCATCTGTCTTTACTCCTTGGTCAAAGAGACTGCGATCTGGGTCCAGCTTGATACAAGGAGGAAATATTTTTAAATTACTAGACTTATAATTAAATGCTTTTATAAAGTTATCTTGTATATTCAGTTCAAAAAACTCTGTACATATGTGTCAGGGAATCAGAATACTTGAGTTCCTAACTGCAACTATCAAATATTTTTAGTCTTAATCATCAAAAGCGTGTGCAGCACTGTACAAGTCATAGTAGACATGCTCTTTACCCAGAGAAATTTGAAATCTAAAGAAAAATTACTCCATGCTGATGAACAGTAGCTCCAATTACAAAAATTTTTAAAAGGAACTGTCAACCTGCAGTCTAGTCAATTTAAAAAAAAAATTAAGTTAAAAGTAGTTTGCTACTATGCAAGAGACCCCAAAAATGCCACAGGGGAAATAGTGAAGCCAACTATAAACAATGTACTGTCACAATGCACAAAGTAAAAAAGAAAAACACTTCTCTCTCTAATCTTAGGTGGTAACTGCAAAAATGCACAAAAGTGTGATTTTTAAGTTGACAGTATCCCTTTAATACAGATACGTAATACTATTTAATGGTCACTCACCACATCAATCAAAGATAGTTGTCTAGACAATCTTCACTTTATGCCTCTGAAATACTACATCATGCCACACTGGCTGTGATTCTGATTAATTCTTTAATGTATCTTTTACATGGACTTTAATACCCTTATTGTTACAGTACTATCTTCCTCTCTTCTACACATCAAACTTTCTGCAGAAAATCATTTATTTCACTCAACAGTATATTAAAAAAAGCGGTGTATTACTGATTTGTCCAGTACAATAGAATTCAAAGTCACATCTCACGCCCCAGCCACTGCGTGGAACCAGCTGGGAGCTATTTCCACCAGAGGCTATCTGATAGCCCTACTCTCTGTATCCTCTGGATAACAGCCCCAATCACTAATCAGTTAAAATTGCTACTGGGAACCAGCTAGAGGCTACTTCTATCAGGCCATGATCATTGACATCAAGGAGACTACCTTCATTTCTGTTTTCACCTCTATTTCTAGCAGAGCAAAAAATGTTCTCTTCCCTCAACTTCCATTTTTAGGTGTTGGTAAAAAAAAAAGTTATATTCTGGGACATAACACTGTGAGGTCCAATACAAAGAAGCATTTCTACTGTAAGGGAGTCATTAACTATGTTTTAGCTCTTAAGAGAGCCTTCTTTCCCTTCCTCTTTTCATCATTATATCAAATAAGGCTATGTCTTCACTAAAAGTGCTGCAGCTGCACCGACAGTGATGCGAGAGGTCTTCCTGCCACTGTAATTAATCCACTTCCCCAAAAAGGCAATAGGTAGGTCAATGGAAGAATACTTCCATCCACCTGGTGATGTCTACATCAGGTGCTAGGTCGGCATCACTATGTTGTTCAGGGCTGTGAATTTCTCAGACCCCTGAGCAACATACCTAGCTCAACCTAATTTTTAGTGTAGACCTGGCCAAAGAGACAGAAAGGGAAAGAGGGAGTTGGTTTTTCACCACTGATCTAATGAAAACCCCAAATGAGGCTAACAACACTGGGAGAAGATATGTTCTTTTCATTCAGTGCCCTTCATGATCGCCTTCAGTTACATCTGCTTTAGAAGCAACTACATTAGTAGAACATAAATACTATTCCAGGTCTTCACAATATTCCACTGCCAGCACCTCACTGCAAGGGAATCTTTGCAGTAAGCTAGACTCTGCTTCAAACAACATACTACAGAGGTTTAAAAAAATGATAAGATTATAGATTTCTATGCAGGGAGTGACAGCAAAAGCGCTAACAGGATGACAAATAAAATGATTGTAAGCCTAATAAAATCCTCCATGATGAATTATAGTTATCAAATATTAAACTTTTGAGAATTTGCAAATAGATCCTTATTAAGGATCTATCACAGTAGTTCTCAAACTTTTGTACTGGTGACATCTTTCACATAGGAAGCCTCTGCGTGCAACCCCCCTTATAAATTAATAACACTTTTTATATACTTAACACCATTATAAATGCTGGAGGTAAAGTGGGGTTTGGTGTGGAGACTGACAGCTCGCGACACCCTATGTAATACCCTCACGACACCCTGAGGGGTCCCGACCCCCAGTTTGAGAACCCCTGATCTATCAGCTAAAACTGAATCCTTTTTAGCTTCATTAATTGGTACTTTAGATATATTGAAAGTCTACTGTGCTCCAATACGTCTATAAGGTGCCACAGGACTCTTTGCCGCTCTTACAGATCCAGACTAACACGGCTACCCCTCTGATACTTGAAAGTCTACTGTAATCTTTTAAAAATATATTTTGTCAAACAAACTGTAACTCAGTGACTAGTCATTTTCACATCACAATAGGTCAATAATAGCATAATGTGGGAGGTCTGAAACAAAAATGCAGTTTTAGCAAATGAAACTTTTCAATATTTCCTGAGCTCTGAAATAACTCTTAGTGGCTAGAGAAAGTCAGCTTTATAATCTTAGTTCTTTTCTTTGGGCCCTCAGACCTCAAGAATATTTCCTGCTAAACTTAATTTACTTGAAAAATAAACTACATATATATTTTTTGACTGTGACAACAGAGCCTATTTTTACTATCTCAGCTTCATAATAAAAAAATACAAGTCACTGAAGAATCTAATTCCAATGTCAATATCGGATACATCTTTGTGTCCTGAATATAGTATCTTGTGATCATTTTTCTGTTAACAGATATTTCTAAATTTGATTTTTTATTATGCAAAGAATCTCTATGTTACACACTTTGGCAACAAGTCTAGCTAGAAGATAGCTATAGGAAAAAATTAGGTAACTGTACATTTTTGTGTAGTTGTAGCAGGATCTGAATTAAAAAAACTGAAAGACTTTCATATTTGCTATTCAATTCCTGCATTTTGTCTTTTGAAAAACTATACTCATCATTCTGTAAACTTAAAAAAAAAAAAAAAAGAAAGAAAAAAGTGACCTGTCTCAGAAAGAAACTCTGAACTACAACTTCACCTACACCTGTTGCCTACAGCATTTTTCATCAACAAGGATAAGGTAAGAGCAGGGGTGGCCAACCTGAGCCTGAGAAGGAGCCAGAATTTACCAATGTACATTGCCAAAGAGCCACATAATACATCAGCAGTCCCCCCCCACATTAGCTCCCCCGCCCCCAGCACCTCCTGCTCACCTCTCCCCCACCACACCTCCCGTTCAGCTGTTCCCTGGCGTGCAGGAAGCTCTGGGGGGGAGGGGGAGGAGTGAGGGCACGGCAGGTTCAGGAAAGGGGGTGGGAAGGGGTGGACTGGGGGCAGGGCCTATGGCAGAGCCAGGGTTGAGTAGTGAGCACCCCCTGGCACATTGGAAAGTTGGCACCTGTAGCTACAGCCCTGGAGTCGGTGCCTATACAAGGAGTCGCATATTAACTTCTAAAGAGCCACATGTGGCTCCGGAGCCACAGGCTGGCCATCTCTGGGTAAGAGTATTAATAGATACAAAAATCCATGTTTTCTTTCTGGGAAAATAGGAGCATAACTTCTCATCACTAAGAATGTCACTCCTACAGCTAGTGCGATCAAGCATTTGTTAGCAGCTCCTATTCTACAGATAAAGAAATATACACACATACTGTAATAACTACCCAGACAGAAATTCATAAGAACATAAGAATGGCCATACTGGTTCAGACCAAAGGTCCATCTAGCCCAGTATCCTGTCTTCCGACAGTGGCCAATGCCAGGTGCCCTAGAGGGAATGAACAGAACAGGTAATCATTAAGTGCTCCATCCCCTGTTGCCCATTCCCAGCTTCTGGCAGTGGAAGTTCCAGAATATATGGCTCTCCTGTATGGTGAACAGTAACCACACATCAGGGCCAGCAAATATCTTACATACTTTCTTTTAAATCTCCGTGTTACTACCCAACGAGGGCTGAAGTAAAGCAATTTCAATGTATGCCAATGACCTTTCCTGGAACTCGAGAGAATCTTTAAGTATTAACAAGAGTAGAAGGAAATTAGAAAGGTTACCAAGTATTTATTTAGTGGCTGTATTATTTAAGCTTTATAAAAGTTATAATGAAATCAATTCGTATCGAAATAAAAAAAAAATCATCATCCAGGAAACCCTGCAGTAACCATCTATTTCAAAAACATACATTAAAAAAAAGTCACAATATGTTTTTGTATAACTGCAGAACAATCTTTACAGCTAGACCTGTAATCATCAGAAAACACAAAAAACAATGCTGTGTAAAGCTCTTCTGGCTTCTAAATTCAGAAAATCTGAAAAAGTGCAACTCCCATATGCACGAGCAAGTAGCAAAGGCTTCAGGGAACAGTCAAGCCTCCTGACCTAAGATACCTTGGAACATAATTCTTAGTGTATGATCTGTACTTTCAAATTATAATATTTCCCCCCCAAAATTGATAAGACATTCTGCTACTGAGATACATTTCTGACACGAACCCTAAAAGTTTCCCAGTTTTATTTGCAGTAAATTAGTAATTAATGGGTACATATTATAAACAGTTTCAAGTTGATGAGACTGACATTTGCAAGATTAGACTCTTAACTGTAGACAATTTAGCAAACTGAAGAGTGAAACCCCCTATATAAAGATCAGAGTGGAGGGAAGGGACTAAATATACAGATCTATTCTCAGAGTACAGTTAGAACCCTCAGAAGAAGTTTTTCAACACTCTTTGATTTACCTGGATATCTTGCAGGCAGATTTCATGTGCGTCCAAGGAACACTGAAGTCTTGGTTCCAACAACTTCTTAAGATTTCCAACTGGTTCATTGATGTCAATAGCCTGACTCACAAATTCTGCTGTAGTGTACGTCTGCTCAACGATGCTTAAACACCAAAGGATCAAACAATTGATTATTAACCGGATGTTAACAAAACAGCTTTGAACATGAATTAGCTGTGTGTTCTCCTACAGTAATAAAAGTTAAAACAAATTGGAGATAAGCTATGCAAAAGCGAATGTTAATGCCAGAAATTTTAATAGTTTATTGAAAGCCCTACTCAGGGTATGCCTACAGAGCCCGCAGCAGCAAGCCTCCCAGCTCCGGTCAACAGACTCAGGCTTGCAGCACTCATGCTAAGGGCTCTAAAAACAGCTGCAGACAGCTCTTTGAAGTTGCAGCTGGGGCTAGAGCTCTGGCTCTGAAGCCTAGGGATAGAGAGGGTGGGGTGATCATATGTTTTTACTCAGTGACACTCTGGTCTTTTCCCCCAAGTGGTTCCATTTAATTTAAATCCCAGCAATGTGTGAGTAGTTAGAACTATAAGTCATTTAAAAGACACTCTGATTTGCAGGTTTGGACTTGTCTTACATTTATGGTCCATCTCAAAGAGCTTGTTGCTATTTCTTAAAACTGGGCACCAGCTATTTTTGAATAAAATAAATTGTAATTAAGCAGTTTTTAAGCTACTGATATCTTTTTGTGAACAGTGCTTAGACAACTGCAATGTTTCTGAATAATTGCTTTTGGAGATAAGAATTTAAAAAAGATTTTTTTTTTAAATTGTGCCACTTATCGAATGTCTATGTTCTTCTATTTGTCCAAATGTATCCCATCACAATTAAAATCTGAAACAAATATTAAAATTGGCAGGTGCAAGAGGCAACTGTTAGGGACAAAAATAGTAAAATGTTTAAATAAAAATCTGCCATTTTTGAAAAGAAATCTGCCAATAAAAATGAAAAAATAACCCCCCCCTCCCCCAAACATGACGACTAAAAAATAATGTAAAAAAGTCACAAGGGATAAAAATAGTCACTTTCTGCACTTTCCAAAGGTCACCAAATGGCACAACTAAGTAAGGAACAGAATTTAAGTGACTTGTCAATAGTTAAGTAGGAGATCTGGAGAAATGATAGGAGCAGAACCCTGATCTCAGAAATGCTAAGACAATACAACTCACCGACTCAATTTCTTTTCCAAATCTCTAATTAGTTAGAAAAAAATTTAAAATGAGGAGAATGCTTGCTCACTTCTGTATTTTAAGACTACCAAATGAAAAAGAACTAAATGAGTGCAAAGAAACTAGGTAATGCGTTTAGAAATGCCAAAATTTTTCAGATGGGCTAGTACAGGACCCATCCTGAAGGCCGCTCTGTGTAGGCAGATCTCTGCACCTACAAACAGTCCCTATCCTTTTATTTGATTTTTAAAAAACATTTATATGTGTATTTTCACACAAACAAAAGGAAAAAGAACAGACTTGGGGGAAAAAAAGGCAACAGTCAAGACCCTAAGAAATACCAAAAAATCTTCTTGTTCAAAAACCCACTTAAAGGATTCTCACTCTAAATATCACCATTTATAAAACCCAAGTACTTAAAAGCAAGGAAGTGAAATAGTTAATGACATCATAAGTCTTACACTGCCCATGTCAACATTTCACTTTCTTCACAAAAATGCAGATTTTATCATAAAACAAACATGATTCTGATATAAAATACTGCTCTTTTCTCAGTAATAAACACCACAAAATCCTTCCTAAAACAAGTTTTATATTTAGATGGCACTACGATCAGCCATATATAAAAGTCCACATAAATACATATTTTTATCTTAGAATACATCAAAAATCATTTCATGTGTCAGAGTTAAAAGGCTGTTACATTTTTCATCACAATGTATTTCTTTATATCCAAGGTCTGGGCCATCCAGGTAAATAGATTATTACCAGGATGTGTAATCAATGGCTACCCCAGGACTACATAATTACCTCACAATTCGAAAATATTAGCATTTTGTTTCACTCTGAAAGCCCTTTTGGTATCCAAGGAACTCCTGCAGAATATTAACAAACTTGGGTGTTTGTTGTGATGGTGACACTGCTGTTAACGTAATGAAAATATATGTCCATAACCAGATTCCTTCTCTCTCCTCTACTCACAACAGCAAGCAGAATGCTTTGGGTGAGTCCCCATTAAACAGAAAAGGGATGGAACGTTGGAATCAGAAGATTCCACGGCAGTTGGAAAATAAAGAGAAATCAGAACACCCTCCCCCCGCACACACACACCCTCCCCCACCTTCCCGGTCACGGGATGAAGCGTTAACAGGAGCTGGGCAGAGCACAACAGCAATACAGCACCAGGGAAGCGATGGTGAACTGGAGAAAGGGAAGAAACTGACAGACTAGTGAAACAGAAAGAGCTGAGAAATCCACCCGGCAGGTAGGAATGACTCTGGCATCACCTGGAACTGGGGAAGGAGTTCAACTGTTGCCATCTTTTGTTACATAATTTTTTCCCTTTGAATCTCCAAGAAGTCTGCAAGGAAATAATTAGTCCTGAGAGGGATAAATGGGGTTCAGTGCGATAGCATTCAGGCATTTATATAAAGCACAGCAGTGACTCACTTGCAGCCACAGCTTCCAGAGCAGGGGACACATGGGTATCCAGCCTCATTGAGGAGCAAGTCTAAAGGTTAGCATACAGGAAGGACAGACAGCAGGATAAAGCATGCACTTAGCTAGGAATAGTAGTCAATGAAGGAAAGATAATGGTTATAGTACAGAGCAGGTAGAAAAATCTCACTCGACGTCTTCATATTAAGAATGGGTTAAACTCCATGCACACTGCAGATAATATAGAAGGATATAGAAGTTTGCATGCTACAAAGAGAAACCTGAAGAGTAACCTTGGTTTTGTCACCTACTATTAAAGCAGTGGTTCTCAAACTTTTGTACTGGTGACCCCTTTCACATAGGAAGCCTTTGAGTGTGACCTCCCCGCCGCCTTATAAATTAAAAACACTTTTTAATATATTTAATGCCATTGTAAATGCTGGAGGCAAAGCAGGGTTTGGGGTTGAGGCTGACAGCTTGCAACCTCCCATGTAATAGACTCACAACCCCCTGAGGGGTCCCAACCCCCAGTTTGAGAACCCCTGCATTAAAGCTATGTAGACCCAGGCACGTGGACATCTCATTAAATTGTATGGAGTTCCGATCCTAAGGAGAGCTTTGAGGGGCTGGTGCCTTTGCTTATGTACAGAGGGAGCGTACAAAATATAGGAGAATACTCAATTTGTTAAAAATAAAGAGGAAATCAGATTTAGAGGCAGGATTTATGTTGTCCATTTATACTTTTTTCCTCCAGTGCAAAGAGGCTAATACCTAAAGGAAGCTCTTCAAGAGTAGGTAACAGAGCCATGATTATTATTATTTTTTAAACTGTAGACAGTGGCAATTAAGCTGTAGGAGCAGATTTAGACAGAAGTAAGGTAACTCATGTAGATCAAAAGGTTTTTAATCTCTGGTATTTGCAGCAATGGCAGCTGCGCTGTTAATGTCACAGATATTATCTCTTTCCCCCCCTACCCCCCTCTTCTAGTTGCAAACTGCTTTGGTTTACATCCCTTTGATGGGAAAAGCGATGGCATACTGGCATCAGAAAGTTGGAATCTGAAGTTCCTATAGCAGTTGGGAATGGCAGCTAGAGAAGGACATATTGATTTAATGGCTGTACACATGCTGCAGACTTCACAAACATGCTCCTGGGGAGTTGTCAAGGCAGTGAGAGTGAGGTAAAGAAAGGAAAGGAAGAGAAGACACTAACAGAACCAGAGTAAAAGTAGCAGACAAAGAAAAAATGACTGAGAAATCACAAACAATGCAGACCCATCATACATTGTAATCAGGGTCTGGAAGGTCGGAATTGCTGCTTGACGATTTGTTCAGTTCTAAAAGTGATTTCCATTTCTACCATAGGTTTGTTTTTACTTCAAGGTGACAATCATTTAGTTTGGCAAAGGGTAAATGACCTTAAGGAAAATAGCATAGAAGAAATATTTACATAATGTGGTGAGAGGATTAGAAATGGCAGTCACAACAATTACAACAGGATACTATGGGTCATCCTAAGCAAGTTACATCTTGTGTGTTATGGCTTCCTTTTGGCATAATAAAACAAATTATATACATTTTCCATTAGTCTGATTTTCCTAAGTCCAGGCCAAAAGCACTAAATCTTTATGGATAGAAATTCTATGTTTAAAAAAAAATAAAAGTATAGCAGTATGAATAAACTACCGACCACCTGACCAGGATGGTGATTGTGAAATACTCAGGAAGATTAGAGAGGCTACAAAAACAGAAAACTCAGTAATAATGGGGGATTTCAACTATCCCCATATTGACTGAGCACATCACCTCAGGTTGGGAGACAGAGCTAAAATTTCTACACACCACTAATGACTGCTTCTTGGAGCAGCTAGTCTTGGAACTTACAAGGGGAAAGGCAATGTTTGATTTAGTCCTAAGTGGTGCACAGGATCTGAGCCCAAGAAGTGAATATAGCTGAACTGCTTTGTAATAGCAGCCATAATGTAATTAAATTCAGCATCCTTGCAGAGGGGAAAATACCAAAGAAATCCACCACAACAGCATTTAACTTCAAAAAGAGGAAATACACAAATATGAGAAAGCTAGTTAAACAGAGATTAAAAGGAAAGGTCAAGAATGAAATGCCTGCAAACTGCTCAAACTAAATGTATCCCCCTACCCTCCCCAGAAACAAACAAAACAAAAACAGTAACAGAAGCAAAAAGATGCCACCATGCCTAAATAACAGAGTAAAAGAGGCAGTTAGAAACAAAAAGACATCCTTTAAAAACTGGAAGTCAAATCATACTGAGGAAAACAGAAAGGGGCATAAACTCTGGCAAGTCAAGTGTAAAAGCATAATTATACAGGCCAAAGAATTTGAACAGCAACTAGCAAAAGACACAAAAACTAACAGCAAAATAGGAACATTAGAAGCTGGCAGCCTGCCAAACAATGGGGGGGTGGGGGGGGAGGGGGAGAAGAACACTGGATGACAAAGTGCTCAAGGAACTCTCAAGAAAGACAAGGCCATTGCAGAGAATGTAAATGAATTCTTTGCATTGGTCTTCCCTGCAGAGAATGAGGGAGATTCCCACACCTGAGCCATTCTTTTTAAATGACACATCTGAGGAACTGTCTCAGATTGAGGGGTCAACAGAGATGGTTTTGGAATGAATTGATAAACAGTAATAAGTCACCAGGACCAGATGGTATTCACCAAGAGTTCTGAAGGAACTCAAATAGTAAAACTACTAACTGCAGTATGTAAATCAGCCTCTGTACCAGATATCTGCAGATTAGCTAATGCAACACCGATATTTAAAAAGGCTCCGTAGGCAACCCTGGCAATTACAAGCTAGTAAACCCAACTTCATTAACTGGCAAATTGGTTGAAACTATAATTAAAAACAGAATTATCAGACACTTAGATGAACATGACATGTTGGGGAAGAGTCAACACTGTTTTAGTAAAGGGAATTCACACCTCACCATTCTACTAGAACCCTTTGAGGGTGTCAACAAATGTGGACAAGGATGATCCAGTGGATATTGTGTATTTGGACTTTCAGAAAGCCCTTGACAAGGTCCCTTACCTTGGGCTCTTAAGCAAAGTAAACAGTCATGGGATAAGAGGGAAGGTCCTCTCATGGATCAGTAAATGATTAAAAGATAGGAAACAAAGGGTAGGAATAAACTGTCAGTTTTCACAGTGTAGAGAGGTAAATAGCAGGGGGGTCACAAAGGAACTGTAATGGGACCATCCTGTTCAACATATTCTTACTTTATCTGGGGAAAGGGGTGAAGACTGAGATGGCAAAGTTTGCAGACGATACAAAAATCACTCAAGATAGTTAAGTCCCAAGCTGACTAAGAAGAGTTAAGGAGTACTTGTGGCACCTTAGAGACTAACCAATTTATTTGAGCATAAGCTTTCGTGAGCTACAGCTCACTTCATCGGTTGCATCCGATGAAGTGAGCTGTAGCTCACGAAAGCTTATGCTCAAATAAATTGGTTAGTCTCTAAGGTGCCACAAGTACTCCTTTTCTTTTTGCAAATACAGACTAACACGGCTGTTACTCTGAAACGTAAGAAGAGTTACAAAGGGATCTCAATAAACTGGGTGACTGGGCAACAAAATGGCATATGAAATTCAGTGTTGATAAATGCAAAGTAATAATAACCCCAACTACACATACAAAATTATGAGGTCTATGTTAGCGATTACCACTCAAAAAATGGAACTTGGAGTAATCATGGACAGTTCTTTAAAACATCTGCTCAATGTTAAACAACAGTCAAAAAAATTAACGTTAGGAACCACTGAGAAAGGGATAGATAATAAGATAGAAAATATCATAATGCCACTATATAAACCCATGGTACACCCAGACTTTGAATACGGCATGCAATTCTGATTGCTCCATATCAAAAAAGATATATTAAAATTGGAAAAAAAGGACAGAGAAAGGCAACAAAAATGATTAAAAGTATGGAATAGCTTCCATATGAGGAGAGGTTAAAAAGACTGGGATTGTTCATCTTAGAAAAAGAGATGACTAAGCAGGGATATGATAGAGGTCTATAAAATTATGAATAGTGTGGAGAAAGTGAATAGTGAAATTATGAAATGTGGAGAAAGTGTTGTTTACCCCTTCACTTAACACAAGAACCAGGGGGTCACTCAATAAAATTAATAGGCAACAGGTTTAAAATAAACAAAAGGGAGTACTTCTTCATGCAATGCATAGTCAACCTGTGGAACTCATTGCCACAGGATGTTGTGAAGTCCAAAAACATAACTGGGTTCAAAAAAGAATTAGTTAAGATGATGGATGACGGATCCATCAAAGACTATTAGCCAGGATGGTCAGGGACAACCTTGTGCTCTGGGTGTCCCTAAGTCTGAATGGTAGAAGCTGGGACTGGACAACAGGGGATGGATCACTTGATAATTGCCCTGGTCTGTTCATTCCCTCTGAAGCAATTGGCATCGGTTACTGTCGGGCTAGATGGACTATTGGTCTGACTCAGTGTGGCCATTCTTATGTTCTTAAATAAGAGCTCAGTCTTTTTCTCACTGAATACAATGACAAGACAGACTGATTTCTACAGGAGCAGACCTAAATATTAAATTTGATAAAAACTGTAAAACTATTTTCAGCTCAAGTGACACAAGTAGTAAGCAATACGGATTGATTGTAGGCGCATACCTTTCTTCAGTGCACTCCTGTTTCTCAGTCCCATCAATTTCTATTTCTATCAGCTCCTCTGCATCTCTTTTAGTCATGGCTAAAAAGTCTCAAAAACAGGCCTACAAAAGAAAAATTGTTAAAGTAGTTTCATGAATTATAGGGAAGCAAATTTGAGCATTATAGTTTCACATAAAAATAATTTGTTAACTCCATATACTTTTTACCAAAAATGTTTTCAGCTGCAAACTCTGTTCATAAAGCCAATTACACAGCTCTAAAATGCAAGTGTGATGCAGAAACCATGAAGTAGTTGACAATGCTTGTTCTGGCAAATGGAAGTAGTAAATTGATGGCTTTGTTTTTTTCTGGGAGAAGACAAATTCAGGAATTTAAACAGACATATAGGTGCCTAGATCATACATCCTGAGGTAGCTTTTGTTCTCTTCCTTTGGAGGCTTCTACATTTATTGGATGCTCTATGATGCTCTTGTCAGGTTTACCTTTCATTGGATGATAATATTTAAATTTCAAGTTGTTTTAAAAATACTTGAGAGATTTTGCTGTCCCATTTATATTACATACTGTCCTTTGAAGGAATCTGAAAGCTGTTGACTGCTATAAAACTTTTTCTAAAAATACAATGTATTAAATGTTATCTATTTCTGATTTTTTTAAAATTATATTGCCTCTTATAGGTGAAAGTATTCAGCATTAATCTACAAAACACCTAACAAACAGAAGATTTTCCATCTGAGGTCTCTTATTTCTCACCAAGTTCAACAATCAATGCATGTAGATGAAAATGCATCTGGTATGGTCACCTAATTTATGCAATGTGTTAGTGTCAAACTATTCTTTTGGGCGGTTTTTCTTATTTATCATTTTTCATCTTTCTCCAAAGTGAGGACAGCATTAGATTAACAGCCAAAGAAAATAAAACATCTTTATCTTTGCCTTAAATTACCTAGGAGCTGCAGAATTCAGAACCTGGCTTGTTAAGCAGCATTTCTTTTTGTGAGCACATCAAACCTGAATTCAACCTGCATAGATTATAATCCATTGGCTTCTTCATTTTAAGATTTTGTTTGACCTGTAAAACCCTACCTGGCCTGGGACCTAGCTATCCAAGAGACTTCTTCTGTCACTTTGATCCATTGCCACAGTTGTGGAAACCAGAGGCTCCTAAGCTACAGGATGCTCCCACCAATACAAGAGAGAGAAGGCTGCTAGCAGGGTGTTCTGTAACCGCTTAGTTAACCTCCAGGACACACTTTAAGACCTCTTTTTTCTCCACAGAACATAAAGATTTAGGGAGATGGGCATGGCTGGGTAGTGATAGGAGAATGACCAGTAATTCTGTTAGGGGTTATTACATTTGTTTTATGCTGCAGCCCGGTTATTATGATCTGTGGATAATTGCTGTAGTCTGTCTGTGTTAGTGCAGTGTACTTTAAGAAACTGTCAAGGTGCCCAAAGCTTGGCATTAGGTGCACTTGTTTATAATAAAAAAAAAATCAGAACAAATGGTGCTCAAATCATAACTAGAGCCTCTTAGTGCTATTAGAATATAAGTATTGAAATAACGATACAAATACAAAACAAGTAATTGTGAAACAGACTAGTGTGAATGTTTCTGTGCCTAATAACTGTGACTAGAGAACAAAGCAACCAATCGGTTCCCTCTACTATATCAGCAGTGAATCTCTAGCAGCACATTACCTTAAATATTTACATAGATTGGAAACAATGGATGTGAAAGGGGTACACTCAAACTGAAATCCAACTCAATCTTTGTGATCTTGCAATCACATTTTACTAAAAAGAAAAGGAGTACTCGTGGCACCTTAGAGACTAACAAATTTATTAGAGCATAAGCTTTCGTGTAGCTTATGCCCTAATAAATTTGTTAGTCTCTAAGGTGCCACGAGTACTCCTTTTCTTTTTACAGATACAGACAAACATGGCTGCTACTCTGAAACCTGTTATATTTTACTGTTCTTTAAAATGTTTTCCTTTCCCAGTACTGTAGTGCATGTCACACAAAAACAAGTGTGAATGGGGAAAGGTGACTACATAGCGTATACCAGTAAAATTGACTATAAAACAAAGTACTGGTTAATGCACACAGGAATGAAGCAAAACAGAAACCAAGAAACAACATTTTGCATTTGTTCCGTTACACTGATCTTATGACAGGTTTCAGAGTAACAGCCGTGTTAGTCTGTATTCGCAGAAAGAAAAGGAGTACTTGTGGCACCTTAGAGACTAACCAATTTATTTGAGCATAAGCTTTTGTGAGCTACAGCTCACTTCATCGGATGCACGAAAGCTCACGAAAGCTTATGCTCAAATAAATTGGTTAGTCTCTAAGGTGCCACAAGTACTCCTTTTCTTTTTACTGATCTTATGATTCACTTGTAAGTGCAGTCAGCACAAAATATTTTAAGAGGATGTCCCAAAAAACAGATATCTTAATAAGTAGAAATATAAGGAGTCCGGTGGCACCTTAAAGTCTAACAGATTTATTTGGGCATAAGCTTTAGTGGGTAAAACCCACTTCTTCAGATGCATCTGAAGAAGTGGGTTTTAGCCACGGAACTTTATGCCCAAATAAATCCGTTAGTCTTTAAAGTACCACCGGACGCTTTGTTGTTTTTGTGGATACAGACTAACACGGCTACCCCGATAAGTAGAACTATGAGATTCAGCGTCCAAAGTGGACATATTTGCGTCTGTTGCGCCCAGAACAACAATAATCACGGGCAATCCCCACACTTCCCCCTTTATGACTGAACTGACACAGCGCCGGGCGGACTGGGGGATCCGAGCGCTCTGGGGCCGCGGGGGGGAGAGTCGCGGGACGCCTGGAACATGGTCATTCCCCGCCGGCGGGCACGGGCCTTTGATGTAGCTGGGAGGGCGCCAGCGAGAGCTCGGGATGGGGACTGGACAATGGACACCCGGGGAGCAGCGAGCCCGCCAGTCAGGCCCCGCAGCTGCGACAGCAGCTAGGCCTCCCACTGCCTGGAGGGGAAAGGGGGACAACGCGGGCGCGTTTCCCGGGCAATTGGCTGGGAGCATCAGGCAGGAGGCCGCCTCCCCCGGCACCTCACAGCCGCCATGTGACGGGACCGGGCCTCCGCAGCGGGCAACGCTGCGCCCAAGGGCTGCCCTTGCCCCCCCGGGACTGCACGGAGCCCGCGAGGGGTGGCTGCTCCCGGCCTTTCGCCCCGCCGCCTCCCTTCTTGTTGTTTGAACCCGAAACGGAAATGAGACTCGCTGCGCCGGGGAGAAACGGAAACAAAACACGAGCCGCAGCCAGGCCCGAGCCCCCCTCCCCCGGATACGGAGAGCGGCGCTTCCCGCCCCTCCCTCGGGCGCCCCGGGCCCCCCGGGCCCGCTCGCTGCACTCACCCGCCGCAGAAACTCCCGCCCCGACTGGCCCGCCCGACTCCCCCGCTCCCCACTTGCTAGCGGCCGCTCCGCAGGGTCCTGACGCCGCCTGCCGAGCGCAGCACTGAAGAGAGCGGAACGGGCTCCGGATTGGGCGGCGAGGCCTGTGCAGGGCCTGGGCGAGGAGGGAGCGCGAACACAACCCCCCCGCACAGATAAGAGCAAGGACTACAACTCCCGGCATCCCCCACGGCGCCATCTTCCACCCGCCAATCAGCGGGCGCGGGGGCGGGACTTCGCTGAGACTTAACGGCCGGGTTAATGCCCTAGGTTTCTCTGGCTCGGAAGTAGATCTGCTCATTTCTGGTGGTGAGTGGTTAGGGGCTGCTGCTGGCTCGGGATTGTTACTGGAGCGTTCCGGCGGGCGCGCGGCGGCTCCAGGTACTTGTTTAACGGGGGGGGGGCGCGCGCGGAGCGCCATCTTACCCGCGGGGGCGGGGCAGGGACGCGAGGAGCGCGGTCCCCACAGTTCTCAGCCTCCCGGGCGGGCTTCCCAGAGTGCCCCGCGCGCTGGGCTGGGTGCCGTGACCCCCCCAAGGTGACTGGAGCCGGAGCCCGGCGGAGGGACCCCGCCGCCGTCCCCTGTAACGCCCCGCGGCCGCCGCTGGGTCGCGGGGAGGGAGCGGGAGCCGCGGCGCACCCGTGCTGGGGGGGGGGCTGCTCGGCGCCGGGTCTGGCTGCTCGGGGACGAAATTCCCTGCGGCCGGGCCACGGGCTCTCCTCGGCCTCCCGCAGGCCCCGGCCCTTCCCGGGGCTGGGCCACCCTGGGTCGCCCCGTCAGCGGCAGATCTCTCGCCCCGAGCGGGGCTGGCCCCGGCCTGATCGTCGCCTCCCCCCTGTTGGCGGCTCGGCTGCGTGGCGATGGGTTTTAACAGCTGGTTCGGGTGTAGACCGGCAGCGCCCCACAGGGAGCCCGGCTCCGTGCGGGGTTGGGGGTAGTTACCTGTTGGGCTAAGTACAAAACTCCTTCCTCAGTGCTTTACCGGCAAACTTTCTGCCTTTTAAATGTGAGCTAGTTGAGACCGTCATGGAAAATCTTTCCCTTTTATTACTAATTCACTTAAACACACAACCTGGCTTGTGGTCATAAGAGTATGTGATCCATGCAAATGCCAGTCAGTGTTGTCAGATTTTCTTAAAAGGGACATTGTTGGTTTAAAGATCACACATTTCTGACTTAGACTAGCACAGTATGTCTATGAAAACAAATAATGCTGATTTGCCAGCTTACTTTTCATCCCTGTTGTATTCTCTATTAAAACTATTTACTTTCTAATGAGCTTTATTTTTGTCTCTGAATTAGTATGTCCTGTGCCAAATCAGTACTTAGATGCAGGTATCTTTGCTAAGCACTACAAATAAAAATGTCCACTTACTTTTTTAGCGTTTTATTATACTTTTGAATTCAGACAGTTCATTTTAATGTGGAAGAAATATGAATCATAGGTAAAATGAGGATACATTCTATCAAAAATATATTTCATGGGCATAGCAAAATTGTCGCTCTTTCCTTTAAAAATGTTGGACTATTTCTTTCTCTTGGTGTTTCCCTGTATTTAGTACTGTTGATATTTTTAACTGATCTACATTTTTTTTTCTTTTTGCAAATGTAAAGTATAGAAAAAACTGCAAGAAACCCCTAACTTAATGCATTCTGTTTGTTTGTAGCTGAAACACTCTGCGAGTTCATCATGATTCTCCAACAGCTATTCAGGTTTTCCTCCATTTTCCGCTCTGCCATCTCAGTACACTTGCGTAGGAACATTGGCCTTTCTGCTATAGTGTTTAATAAGGCGAAGGAACTTGATCCAGTTCAGAAGCTTTTTATAGACAAGATCAGAGAATACAACATGAAGAGCCAGTAAGTTATTGGAATGCAATAAATGTAATTCAGTGTATTAAGTAAAAAAGTTTAATATGAAGTTTTTAGCAAACATTAATATGGGATCATTCCTCTTATAATTAGGCCTTTTAGGTCTGTAGTCTGAGTGCAGAGCCTGTTAGCTTCAGCATGGAAAGGCCCTAAGAACTGATCTAGCACAAATTCTAGTCAATGTTTTTTCCACTTCTGAAACCCAGAGGAAAGTGGGCTAGGAAATAATTCTGTATTTTGCAACTGCAGTCCCAGGTGTTAAAGGATGTATCTGTGATTCACTGAGGAATGTTACAAAAAAATAGGTTTTCATGAAATGTTAGAATTACATGAAGAAACGCAGTTTCCCCTTGAGTACTGACACTAGATACATAATTTGCAAGAAAAAATGATCTAGAACACCTCAATAAAAAGAAAGTTCACAGATTTAAGTCTTTACTAGTTCTTGTGTTTGTTATTACAGTTGACTTTGTCCATATTACTACTTTTATATAGCTGTATATGAGGGTTAAGGATTATTGAACAGTAGCCATAAAACTTTGAGTTTTGGCTTAGTTATCCAAAATGTGAACAGATAATGTGGTCCTTTGCAAACATCGACTGCTTTTCCTTTTTTTTTTTACTGACCTGAAATAATTACATTTCTACTGTCCAAAAACAAAATGCAAGAATTGAATAAATTCACCTAAAAATAGTGGGCCACAAAATCGTATAATACAAAAATAAAATATTACATTTGAATATCAGCATTTTGAGAGAATCTCTGGGTTTTAAATGTCTCCAGTTACTCACCTCTCAAGAAACTCTTTTATTCATCTGTTACCTGTGGGAAGATTTTGCATTAACAAAAAATTATCTTAAACAACAAATTCCAATTTCATTAGACGTATTTAGCAAAATAAATCTGTTTAATGGTGTAGGAGATGCTCAGTATGTTTAAAGGAGGGCTGGTTGCGGGCAAAATAAAGAGCTAACTAACTGGTTAGAATCTCCCTGCCAATAGACTTTGGATTGTTTTTAGATTTAATAACATTTTCCTAGTCTGTGAACAAACCCATTCAATTTAATAAATGCTTATCAGTGTACTGATATTGCTACTTCCGTAGTAAGTTCTATAGCCGTGATTCCCAAACTTTTTGCTAAGGTGACCCACCAACTACTTCCAGCTTGGCTTGCCATCCAAGCCTCCTATCCAGCTCTCACTCTTTCAGCCCTGCCCCCATCTGCAGCCCCAGCTGGCCCCTTTCTCTCTGCAACTGGGCAAGGGCCAGGTTGCTGTCTACTCACTAGCTTCTGCGGCTGCTGTCTGGATCCTACTCTCACTTCACCTGGATTGCAGGCAGCAGCATGTGGAGTGGGATCTAGGCAGTGAGTGGACAGACAGCAGCCTGATAGTGATTGTAGTGTGGCCATGGGGAGAGAGGGGCTGATTGGGGGCCAGGGTTGGATGATTGGCAGGAAAGGTCATGATGCCTCCCATCCATCAAGGTTTGGGACCCACTATTTGGGAACTGGTGTTCTAAAGTTACAGTTTCATTTAAAACAGACTCTTGGTTCAAATGTGTCAAACTCTGCTTGAAGACCTTTTTATTGCAGAATTGTTTAGTGAAACATTAGGAGTGAAATGTGGTCCGAGCTGGAAGTAAGCATCCATTTCACAGATTAGACTTTTTCAGAATAAAGATGATCATGGAGATACAAGTGAAAGAACATTGCGACTACACTCCTATTGTTAGTCCCTCCCAGCCAAAATATAAGTGGAAAAAAATGTCCAAACCACCTGCTTTTTTTTTATTTCCCTATCTCCTCAAAGTTCCTCTTTGGTGATGATGGTGAAAAGAGGGGAATAAAAAAGACCATCTCTGTATCAAACTATCAGTTGTCTTAGCTTTGAAATGGAAAAAGGAAAATATCCTTTTAAAATGGAAATACTTCCCTATGGAGGATGAGTCATGCTGTAGGGGATTCTCTAGGGGTGGACTTAGAGAAATAACTAAAATGGGAAACTTTGGGGAGTGGGGGAGAATAATACGATGGAGGAAGTTGTTCTTGGAGCATTAAGAGAAACTGTCCACAGCTAATTTAGCTACGGTTTGCTGTAGAGCTCTTAAAGCTGCAGCTGGCACCAGATAAGTCTTGTATTAGGTAAATTTGTGTTCTTTTCATATTTGTCTACTAAAATTAAAACTTTGGTGTAGCTACTCTTACCGTCTGTGGGTAGTTTTTGATTCTTACTGGATTGAAGAGCTCTTTGCATTTGTACAATCTTTTTCTAATTATTCTATCTGGGAATACTCTTGTGGTTTTTAGACTGTCAGCTGATCAGTGCAGCAACCATTTCCTCATGCCCTTTATTGTAGTGAGCACAGCATCTGCACTAAAGCAATAATTAAGGCCAGAATAAGGTTAATGGAATTCATTGATATGGTTTGTATTAAGACACTATCACTAAATTTCATAGTATTTTTCTCCTAATGGTTTTTACATATGGGTGGGAAATTATCAAGTTGTGTAACAGAAGGTATCAAATCTATATTGAAGCTGGTGGAAAAGTTTCAATATTTCCATGTTTAGATGTCTAAAACATGACTTGTTAGCTATGAAACACAGAACTTGTGGACAGAAAGTTTTAGAAATGTAATGCTCATGTGTGCAAATAGTCTTGTCAGGACTCAATTTTAAACAATAACTCAGTAAATGTCCATTGCAGCTGACGTACCAAAACAGACACAAAGATATAACCGTAACAGTCAGTGTGCCTGCAGGGATCTGGTGTCACTGACCCCACTGTCAAAGGTGCCCCCTGCAGCCTTGCTGTCAGTGCTACCCTAGCCCTACCCCTTCTTAATGCCCCACAACTGTAAAAATAAAAATAGTTAATTGAAAAAAAATCTTAAATAAAAATTTTCAAAATTAGGCCTAGCAGAATTCTATTGTTTTACTATCTACAAATAACTATCCTTTTTAGAAAATACAAAGGAATGAGTGAATTTGTTTATTTGTGTAATCATTCTTTAGACTGGGATTTTCAAGGGTACTTAAGGGAGTTGGTCACCCAACTCTAGTTGAAAGTCACTGAAATTAGATTCCTAATACCTCTAAGCCCCTTTTAAAAGCTTAGAAAGTAGTTCAACTCCTTTTTAGCAGATCTTATTCTTGGTAAATATTATACAATGAATATTTTAATTGTGGGATTTTACTCCTATTTAAAATTATTTATAACCTGAGTTCATGTGTAATGACTAAACTACATATCATTAGTATGGTCGCTATACAGAAATCTTAAATCTGAGCAAGTTGGTATTACACTGGGGGAAAACATGGATTTTCAAACTGAGAAACTAGTTGTTGATTATAAGCATGTATTTGTAACATTACACCCATAATTGATGCTTCACTTTGGTATTAAATGTTTGGTGCTTTCCATTAAGTAGTCTGTAGGGCTGCTCTTGTGTGCAGTTTTGTAGATTAGGAAGTACATCCCTAATTGTGGCAATTTACCTGTATACTAGGCACTTCTTCACCTCGTTCTACTGGTATTACTGTTCTTGCTAAACGACTTGGTTTGAAGTTGATCTTCCCTTTCAGCAGATTAGCCTCAAAAATGATAATAGCAAGTTTCAAGGAAGTTTTGCCTAGGTACTTTAAAGGCTTAAGAACAGAATGATGCCTTGTTGCCAAGTCTCCATTCACAGCCACTTAAAAAAAGTGCAACTGGATAATTGGGTTGTAGAATTTACACTATTAAAGGAACACGGGCTAATATTTGTAGCAATATGCTTCTCATATTTCCATTTTAAACCCTCCTTTAGCTTTAGTTAAGCTAAAATGTCTGCTTTCAAATGCCAAAAGAGAAAAATGTACCCCTGGTACGCTCTACCTCTGAGTTTTTCAAAATATTTAAATTGCTTTACTTATTTGGGGGTGTATAGCCATTTATCTTACTCTTTAGATTAGGCTCTTAAATGATAAAATTGCTGTGTAAAATGTTTAGAATCAAAATTTTCATTGGACGTTTTCTACATTTAGGAAAGCTGGCGGTCCAGCTGATGTAGGCCCTGAATACCAGAAAGACATGGCTGAAGAAATTGCCAAAATTCAGCGGTTGTATGGTGGGGGAGACCTGACCAAATTTCCAGACTTCAAATTTGAGGGTGAGTCTCCAGCCTCTGTTAATTTATTGTTGCATCACAAGTGTGAAAGTGAGAGGATGAATAGTGGAATATAGAGCCTTTTACCCCCAGGTCACTGGTCACAATCAGCCATGTGGTCCTGGGAGAGAGCAGGACTCTGTTCTTGGGGATGGTACAATTGCACAATGGGGATGTGCAATCTGGTTGGCACGTAGGAACTTTGTGGCAGCAGAGTATGCTTAGTGTCACGTAAGGCTCCTGCAACAGTTGTTCCTGCTGTTGAGGATGTACTTGACCAAGGCTCATTTCAGATCTCAGGAATGGAGAGAATGGCCAAGTGTTCAGATGGTGCCTGGCAGCAGGCACCCAATGTGGCACAGCATTGCTGTTTGCTAAGAGCTGTCATTTGATAATCTTGGGACTTGAGTGGTTTAGCACAGACATCTGCACATTAATCAGCTTCAGAGAATCATGGTTGTGAGGGTTCAGTCTGAAAATTCCACCAGAGAGGAACCAACAGCAGAGGTGTTGTAACTAGTGTCACACAACAGCTATTTTAAAGGATAAGGGTGAGTAGTGAAGTCACTGCCAAATCCACCAGAAGTATTTGCTGTCAACTGCCATTAGTTGATCATTCCCCTTCCTCCATGGACTCTACAGTGATCTAAGGGAGTAGGAAGATCAGAAGTCCCTACGTGAGGACTAGGTCCTCTGTGCCTGGAACTTCATTCTGCCAGTTGTTTGGCAGGCAAGTACTGCATGGGGTAGACCCAGATGCTTAGTTATTTCAGGAGTTCCCCTTAGTTACATGAGATACTGCTGTGAGAGTTGCTATTTTCTGAACTCTCTCTTCCTCATACTGTCAAGTGAGTAACTTCCTTATCTGCGGACTAGTTTTCTTACTACTGTCAAAGTAATTTAAATGTCTTTAGCATAAAATATAGTCTCTTCCAGTTTTGAGTCATTTAGGATTAATTTTCCCTTGTAGAAAATTATAAATTATAATTTATAAATTATAATTGTAAATTATACTACATCATAATGTGGAGTCTCTTCCCCAGGAAAGAACTAATTTCTCATTCACCTAGTCTTTGTGTACTACTTGAAAGTCTCTTATCTTAACTTTACTGCTCATTATGATTTTTTACATGAGTCAGTGATAGGTAGCAACATTTTTGTCTTGTTGCTCGTAAAACTGGTAGTACCCCGTTAATGAACTAGTTGCAAGCTAGTTAGTAGGTAAGTTACTTTGGCTGTAGGTAAACATCAAATACATATAGAATAAGATACATGATAGCTAATTCTAAGGAAATATTGCATATTCATGAAGAAACTTTTTTAAAAAACTTGTGCTAAATGTCCCTTTGCTTCCCCTCCCTTTACGGCGTGTTTGCAAAATTTAGCTGCAGATCACTAAAAGTAGTAAATGGGGCCATGGTTTGTATTCTGCTAGAAGCTGAAGTTGATCTATGAGCAGTATTTAGAACTTGAGCATCTTAATATGAAACTAATGGCATTTTTTCTTCCTAGAGCCCAACTTTGAAGAGTCTCAAAAATGATGTGGTTGACATCTGTAGTCCAAGCACTGGTGTCCTCTTTCTCATGGAGTTGTTAAATAGGCCAGATGTTGTAATGTAATGTGGAGTTTCACTTTCAAATACTTGTTTGACTTCTGAACTCAATACTGTACAAGAACAACATGATTCTTGTGAACTGCCATATTCATAAAATTCACTCTTGGAGATCAAATATAAAGTGCTTAAGTCTTTTATCCAGTGTTTAAACACTATTTACTGAAATGACATTTCAGTATCCAAATAAAACCAAATGACCACTTAAGTGCAAAATACAGTTAATGATAGCTTTCCTGTTGAAAAGAACTATGCTTCCCTAGATTTTAATCACTTGTCATTGAAATCGTATAAAAATACAATAAAGCCTGCAAATATGGCATTATTGTATGCATGTGATCATTCTATGCTACGTTATTGCAATAGTAACATTTTATTTAGACATATCCAGGAACTCAAACATTGTGGCTCATGCCACATATCCTCCAGTTGTGTCAGGCTCATGAGCTGAAATGGACTGACTTTTATAATCTTGGTGCACCAGTACATTCTTGCAGAGGCTATCTTGTTCTTTTAAATGGAAAAAGTTGTGGTTTTTGGGGAGAGTTAAGTACTAAAGTTTCTAATCTGTTCCTGAAGACCCCATCAAAATATGAAAAACTTATTCAAGTTCAGTCCTGTCTACCAGAAACACCAGTAGAAGTTTGAACTGCCAATCAATATTGCCCATTTTACTGCTGTTCAAAGTACAGGGAGAGAAATGATCACATTGAGCAACTTATCTGAATGGCATTTGATCCCAAGGAAGCAAGACAAACTTAAAGCCTAGTAGCCACATAATCACTGTTTGAGCATTTTGCAATCTGGGTAACTCTCATTTTGGTATCAGGTGCAGACCCATTACACTTTTTTCCCCAATTCAACCCTTGATAGGAACACAGGACTTACTGACTGCCTTTGCTATATCACAATAGTGTCAGGTCAAAGTGTAGAGTTTCATCTTTACCTGCCATTACTCCAAAATGCAGAGTACTGTACCTATCCTTTGCCCTCCTCTGTCATGATAGTTTCCTTTTTTTTTTTTTGCTTATGTCAGGGAAATGTTTCAGGGCAAATAAGACTTTCTATAGAAAGTTTCACTCACATGCCCAGGAAACTGCAAAATATTCTCACTTATAGTACTGTTAGCTAAGATTAAAAAGTATAATTGCTCCTTTAAGGGAATTTCTCAGTATTTGGTGTGAATTCTTTTAAGAAATCTTAGCTTACTCCTGCCCCTGTAGCCCACTGTTTTTAGCAGCTACATTTATCTAGGGAAAGTTCACAATATTCTGCTGCTCTTTGATCAATCCCTCTTGAGAATTATTGTATAATCGAAGTATTCATTTAAAACTTGTGGCTCGTTTTGTTAGACATGAACTAATCAAACCAATAATGTACAGACAGCCTGAATGATAGTTCACTAAATGAGCTGCTATTAATCTCCATGGGGTGAGAAATAGGACATATTAAATGTCAATGTCATTGCTGCTCAAAGTGAGCAATATTCAGTTTCTGCTTCTCCTAGAATCCCATACTGCTTATTTTGGTGCCGAAGAATCTAGCTCCTAAAATTTTCACACAGCTTCTCTTGAGGGGGGAAAAAAAGGGCATGTTGATCCAGATATCTGTAGTATATAAGGAGTGGAGACAGTGAAATAAGTTGGCTGTAATATTAAAGCAGTTCAGGGCCACAGGTAGCAGTTGTATTCATTTTCATCTTACTATCTCAAATAAAGCTGCTATGGCATTTTTGCACTGCCACACCAGCATTTGAAAGAGCACCGAGTATAAGTAACAAAACTAGATGCTGATTTATGACCAATTGAAGTCAGTGACAATCCAGCAAATGCTTATGGGCCATCCAGAATACAGATGCTTTCCTGCATAGAACTGTCAGGGTGAATGGAACTGACTGACTGTCTGCCTAGTTAAACTTTAAGTGCATGTTCCAGTTAAAGCATGCTTGGTCTAAAAAAAAAAAAAAATTCCCCTTCTAATTACTATGGCTGTCATTTTAGAGTTGAAATATGAGTGTAAAATTTTTGGAGCTAAAGGAACATGTAATTGAAGATAGTATCAGGCAGAATGTTCAACACCACCATGAGTACTATAGTCTGGCAACACATTAAACTAATGATAGTTGCAGACCACTGAAAGCAAGTTCACAGTAGACAGCACATCGGACATTATGGGTCATTTATTTGTAAAACTGAACTGTAACAGAAAAAAATCAAGGCACTAACACTGCATCAGTTTTGCTGCACTGTTTTCCATCACAGTGTAAATTTACACATACAATCTTTAGCACAAACTTTCACAGATCTTAAATATACTTCCTGGTAGGAAAAAAGCTACACACTTCAGCACTGGGACTTGAACATTTGATCTATAACAGTAGTTTTCAACCTGAGGTCTGTAAACTATGTTTAAGATTTCTAAAGGAGTCCGCACCTCCATTTGAAATTTTTTAGGGATCAGCAAATAAAGAGATTGAAAAGCACTGATCTACAGCATAACACTGTTTGGAGATTCTCTCTGATAGCGAGGGTGAACCACACTTAGCATAACTCAAATTTATACTTGTACAGTATCAAAATAACTGTTCACTTGACTGCATGGTCTGACAGATTATTTGAAAGTCATAGCAGTAATAACTGAAAAACAGCAAAAGTTAGAGCTCCTCACATTGTCTTAGATGTAGACACTACAAAGCACTAGGCTAGAGTGGCCAAAAAACTTTTAACCCTAATCTGTAAAGATCATGAGCATGAATTCGCTTAGTAATGAGTCTTCTTCCTGTGTATATACATAAACAGGATGAGAAGAAACCTTCATACAAATTATTTATATTATCTACATACTACTATCCTTAAATTAGAGAAATAATGGTATTTTAACAATATGAACAGTTGTACAGTCCGTGTTTAGGTTTGTAACATCAGATCCTAGACGCTCCAGCAAACTTTCTGCTTTCAGTGTATGCCATCTCAAAACAAATCCAAATATTTACAGAAGAGTTAAAATCCCTTTGATATTTTCTATAACAAGTAGTCAGTTTTTGTCCCTCAAAGAGGCTGAAATCTTCTAAATAACAAAGGACTTGGTGTGCTTGAAATCCTAAATGAGAAAAAGAAAAGGGTAAGGTGACAAGTTATAGTTCAAATGCTTTCAGCAGAACGTCCTACTTAGTATCCATTACACTTAAACATCTGTAGAACATCACTTGTGTCTCCAGATTGGCAAAAGAGAAGCAGCAAACACCAAGCCTACAGCAACAAAAAAGGCTACGAAGTCTTAGTAATGAGACCAAACTCCTTCCCATAGCAACAGAATATTAGGCAGATAAACCTCTTGCCTAAGTGTGAAGTCTGGCTCATCAGTGAGCATACCATTTCAGTTCCCTTTGATGAGTGAAGCCTACAAAACGCATTTGTACATGACATACCTACTACAGTTCAAAAGATGTCCCACTGGGATGAATTAAAGATCTAGTGGGAAAAGGTAAAACTGCTGTTTCTTTCCTTTTGAATACTCCAATGATAGCTGCTGATGATGTGCAATTATACTGCAGTTGATGAATGCACCCCACAACTAGAGCTTACCCATATTTCAGTGGAGAGACACAAACCAAGACATTTTTACCACCAAAAGGGGAAATCAAAAACCACTGCTTAAGTTCCTTGGTGTTCAGATTTAAGGACAGATGGTAGCTTTCATAGAGCACTTATGGTGGCCAGGTATAACCAATACTGACTGCCAACTGGTAGGCCCAAAGAGCAGCTGTTGCTATTTCATAGCTAGACCTGTAGGTGGAGCATCACTCACTGCATCAGTTTAACAGCAGAAGTTGCATTGGATCAACTAAATTTTTGGGGACCCCCTCTACTATGAGCTGGGAGAATTAAAATTAGCTGGTGATTTGGAGTTACCCCTGTTCTGGTCAGGCTTGTTGCCTTCTGATCCTAATCCTCTCCTATAGGAAGCTAGGGCCAGGCCCAAAGCCAGTACTACTCTACCACCTTGCAGCCTCCTCCAATGGCCCAGCTTCTTTGGTCCCCTCCTCAGGCCTAGGGAAGCAAACAGGAGGTACATAGCTCCATGTGCTGCTTCCAGCCAGAGATCCCAGCAGCTCAGGGAGGGGGCCACTGGAGCAAGGTTAAAGCAGAATATCCAGCCTCTTAGTGGGGTCACATAGTGCTGCAAGGGGAGCAGCCGGTAACTCGGGCTGATGTCTGACACATCTACTCTAGTTTTGGCACTATTGTGGAGGCACATTGAAGGGAACATAGTAACTGTGACTTGGGTTTGGGTGAGGAAGGGAAGTAAATGAACAAAGTTGATGGAGTAGGAAAGAGCTGAGACTGGGTGAATAGAAGGATGACTGGCGTGTGAGACGGGATGGGTAAATCAGGCGTGTGACTGAGTTTGTGGGAGAATTTGAATAATGTAGGTGGTGGGGTGCTGTGATTGCCTGCCGTATGAGAAACAGTTGTGAAGTGAAAGAGGTAGAGCAGAGCAATGTAAATGTAGGTGTGAGGAGATAGGAACTGCTTCTGCGTGCATCTGTGGGGAAGGAAATTGCATATGCTGGTGTTTATAGTAAAGGTGGACTAGGAAGTGTTTGCAGGTGCTGTTAAGTTTTCTTGACATATGTTGCAAAGCTGAGCTAATATTACAGATCCAATGTTTCTCTAAGCAAATCTAGCCATTGGGTCTTCTCTAGTGCAGGGGATCTCACTCATTTGTAGTGTGCACCACATTGATTGTCTTGGGGACATCCCTCTCTCTGACACACACATATAGTTGTGTAACATTGTGTGTCTAACTAGAAATTGCTTTACATAGAAAGTGATTTTATTTTATTTTTTTAAATAAACTTTTATTTAGCAGGTAGATATAAGGAGAAGATAGAGCTGCCAGCACCCTGTGACTAGCCAGCTGTCAATAGACCAGCAGCAAGTGCTCTGTGGAGCAGAGTTTGAGAACCTGTGCCCTAGTGCAGGGATTGGCAACCTTTGGCACATGGACCGCCAGGATAATCCCCCTGGTGGGTCAGGCTGGTTTGTTTACCTGCTGCGTCCGCAGGTTCAGCTAATCGCGCCTCCTACTGGCCGCGGTTCACCGCTCCAGGCAATGGGGCTGTGGGAAGTGGTGTGGGCCGAGGGATGTGCTGGCCGCCTCTTCCCGCGGCCCCCATTGGCCTGGAGCGGTGAACCGTGGCTGGTGGGAACTGCGATCGGCTGAAATGCGGACGCAGCAGGTAAACAAACCGGCTCGGCCTGCCAGGGAGTTTACCTTAGTGGGCCACGTGCCAAAGGTTGCTGATCCTTGCACTAGT